GGGCTGGGCCTGCTCCCCGCTGCCCTTCCAGTAAACACCCCTTAATCCCCGTCCCGCCCGGCGGAAGGAGACCCACGGCCCCCTGGGGCCGGGCCTTGCTCCCCGTCCCTTGCCCGTCTCCCCCCGGGCTCAGGGCAGTGGTTCGCCAGCCCTCCCGCCTTCATGAATGCCCCGCAATAGCCGCCTGCGAGGAGGAGCCGGCCCTCCTGGCCTCTGTTTGCAGAGAGCAGGGCCGGCCGGTTTGGGTGCGCGGGGATGTGGCGTGGCGCTGCTGGATGTTGGTTGTTTTTTGTGTATCCATCATCTCCATCCCTGCATGACTCCAGACAGACAGGGAGGGAGGGGACGTCCTGCTTGACTTCCCTCCCTTGTGTGAGCGAGATGGGCCGATCCCTGGCTTCGAGGTTGATTTGCACGTAGTCGTTGACGAGGCTTGCGGCGCGTTTCGTCGACCCTTCAAAAGATCGCGCGTGCTGTTCTTCTGGGAGTCGGTTTGAGACCGTTTCTACCTCCCCCGTTGCCTTTTAAAAGGCCTGCTTTTGGGGTTTAAAATTAGGCGGTGCCCCTTTAATCGGCTGTGTGCAACACACTCCCAAAAAAAATGTGCGTTGCCTCCTGCCCTCGCACTTATGACACGTGTTTGAGATGCTGTGTGCTGGCTTTGCATCTCTTGTTAACGCTTTCTTCCCTTAGGTGTTGGCGCGCGTGTCGGTGCGAGTGGCGCGCGCGTGTCGGTGCGAGTGGCGCAGCTTCAGGAAAGCAGTGGCTGTCGGGAGTGTTTTTTTTTAGTTAGATTTTTTTTAGTTCGCTGTCCCTGTTGTAGCAAGGGACATGGGTAGCTTCAGACCCCAAATAACCATCCTCTATTGACAAAATTGGTTTGTTGAAGTAATGCTTCAACGTGAAATATATTTGTGTTTCAGAAGGAATTAGACTCTTACCCGTGATCTTTTATCTTTCAATTTAGCAACCAGGACTCATAGAGGTGATATCTTTTATTAAACCAATAAGATTTTTTGCTAAAAAAAAATATTTTAATTGCAAGGTTTTGGGGGTATTTGTGTCCAAAAGCTTGCAATTAAAGAATTTTTTTTTGTGTGTGTGTGTGTGTGCAAAAATCTTGTTGGTTTAATAAAGGGTATCATCTATACTATGAGTCCTGGTTGCTTTTTCCTCTGGACCAATATGGCTAAAACCTGGACACTCTTCCAACTTAGAGAAGTCTTTGGTGTTGGGAAACGCAACTTGCTGATCTCTTTTTCCCCTCCAGTTGTGTTGAGGTGACTGTCTCATGTGGGATTTATCAACTGATGTTAGCTCGGTGGGTGAACAGGAGCGGAGTTGACTGAAGAGCAAAGTGAAGGAGAGGAAGCTTTATGGGTGAGTGAATTCAAGCTGTTTCTGCCTAAACGTTTAATTTTTACATGTTCAAAAATAGAAGTTCTGAGTGCCCGATTGGAAGCAAACACCTCTCTCTTAGCTACTGGGTTACAAGTTATATCTGAAGATTGGGGCATTTCTACCCAAAGCCTTGATTATCAAGGTAAATCACTCCTGTGGTATGCTGCTCATTTCAGCATCAGATGAAATGCTCCTTTCCAGGCAGAGGGGCTTTACTTTGAGTATTTTCTTTCAAAGGCTACAGGCTACACCGCCAGACTGAAGTCGTCTCAGGGAGGGTGCACCCTTTCCGCTGCAGCAAAAGTTTGAAAAGAAAAATTGTTAGAAGTTTGAAGTGGTAAACTGATAGAAAAAATGCAATGAGCTCTTTGATGTCAACGCAGCTGGAACCATGGCTTTAAGACCCAAAATGTCTTGTGCTTTATTGTGCTATATAGTGGGAGTCTGTGGAGCTTTTACCTGTAAAACATAAAACTACCTTTTATAGGGTGGCAGTAGGTTAGGGTCATTTCACTCCTTACGATGCTTAATTCCTTTGTAATGGAAGAGCTGTAACAGCTCGTGACCAGAGATACAGAGTTAATCGATCCAAGGAGAAGCTAAGTTTCAGTCTCCAAAGAATTCTGTCTCAACACAAGGAAATCGACACAGAGTTTTCTCTTCTTTAACTCACAATCTGTCCTTTGCCCATACCTCAACTGGATCCAAGAGAGAGTTAAATAGCAAGAGAGAGTTTTCTTCATGAGTGTTAGCTAACAATATTAGTCTAAACAAGACCATGGTCCTTTCGTGAGGGAACAAGAGGGCACGCGCACTCTGTTAGAGAGCACTGGAGCTAGGGTGATGAAGGCAAATTTACAAATCTGAGCTGACCTTTCTGTTATAGCATAAATCATTTCATTATTTTATACCACAATTGGAAAGGTCAGGCACAAGCTGTTCAATTTTGACCTCAGTTATGTTTGCAGCTGCATTTCAGACAATATAGGGGGATAATTTTATGTAGGTTTGGTCGCAATTTGATTTCTTTCTTTGAGACACTTCAGCATTATCCTGAAAGCATAGTATCAAGCTCTTTTCACCAGAAGATCTCAAAATATGTTACAAAGGAATTCATTGTCATTGTCACATTGTCATATAATACTGCCAGTGGTTTTTGTGGATCAGGCTATTTTTCCCCTAAGATCCCCCAACAGACCAGTGCCAGCTGGGAGTAAAGCCCAGAACTCCTGAGTCGTCGTCCAGGACCCTGTCCACTCTCTTGCTATGCTTGCCTGTGGCTTGGGATATGCCATGTTGGAGCTATTTTTGTATGCAAGTAATTTCAGGATCAAGGCCTATCATTTGATATCAGTGGTGTCATGTTCTGTTCTAGATGGGCCATGTTCAGCAACTGAAAGTGCTGAGCCATAGCTCTTCTTGGCTGTGCTTATCAGCAGTGAAAACTTGCACTTGCTCAGCTTTGTTCCCACTCTGCTTTTATGGGGAGCATTGCAGACTCCAGGATGGCAGTGTTTTACTGAGGAGATGAAATTCTCAAACGGTGTTCTCCATGCCTTTTAAAGGGGATGAGGGGTGAAGGGAATGCTATTTGTATTTCTCTGTTGCTCTAAGCTTTCAAAACACTCTGGCATTGCAGAGATGTGGCTTGGCTTGTGAGATTCACTCTTCTTTACAGGTTTCCTCTGCTTTTCCAGGATGCATTAGAGGCTTGTTTTTGGAGCTGGCCCTGGTACTGAGTGCTTCTTTTGACTTCAGATGAATCTCAAACATGGTTTCTTTTAATCAAAAATACACTGAACGGATGATTTCAGAGCCACATGTAGCAAGCCAGGGCAGATTAGTGAACTTCCATCTAGAGTATGTACAGATGCCAGCCACCTCACTGTGTAGGCGCCAAGTAACTTCCAGCTGACATGCGATGCTAAGCTATGCAGGTCAGCACTACACAGAGCTCTTGGGTTTGGCATATGAGGGGCCCCTGCTTTCTGTTTCTTCTCGTCTTTCTTCACCGTGTGATGCCTAGATACCAAAGTGACAAGCATCTTCAAAATACAGTATGTTGCTACAAAAATGAGTAGGCAAGAAATTATTTTAAGGATGAACTCTGTCTTTGTGCATTTGTGCTATTGATCCATGGCACAGCTTTAACATCCTAATGAAAAGCCTGTCTCTTTCCATCCTGCACGCATATCTGAGTAGCAGTCCCTGCTCATTGAGTTTGGAAGTGGCCTGCTTAAAACAAGGCTGCTGCCATTTGGGGGAGGGGCTGAAACTTGCTGTCAATGAAGCACTGCCCTTTACGATGTGGACACCATACAGTTACCTAGAATAAATGAATTCCCCTTAGGGCCTACACTTTTGGGGCGTAATTTTGGCTCTGAAAGCACTGTTGTGGCCCTGGGCTTTGGTTTCTCATCTGTAAAATGGAAGTACTACTTCCTAGCCTTACCAATGTTCTGTGAGGTTTCGTTAATATTTGCAAAGCCTTATACATTCCTTGCAGTGAAAAATGAGCAGCGTAAGTGTGAGATGTTATTATGATATCAGTGGCAATTCAGTCGCTTCCACTTTCAAACTCAAGAGGTTTTTTTTTTTTTTTAGTCTTGTCACAGCCATGATTGTATTTATCTCTCTGACTTTTTAACTGCTGCGCCTTGCATGCTTTAATAATTGCTGTGTGTTATTTATCTGTCTCTGTCACGTCTGTTACATTGACTAGTGATCATAATATTTGTATAGCGCCATTCATTTTTGATGTATCCTGGAGCACTTTAAGAAGTGTATGCATATGATAGCGAGGAAGGACAGGCCCTTCAGGGGTGGAGCACCTCAGCCAGGCTGACTGTATGCTGCACAGCTTTGGTGGTGAGCTTTTGGCTCCAGATCCTGGGCCAAAGCCTAGTGCATGAGTTTTAAATGTCCCTGCAGAACAGAGAAGGTTTTAATTTTTACGATTCTCTTTAAAACACGCCTGAACCACACCCTGCACAGAACTGAGCACATCTGCTGCAGAAAGATGAAGGGCTTAATTGACTGCCAGGATTCAAAGCTGTTGATCTAGGGCAGAGTTTCACAACCCATGGGTCGTGACCCAAAAGTGGGTCGTGAGAATATTTGAAAGGGTCGTGAACAAATTACAAAAAAATGTGGGAAAGCACAGGTGGGTCCCCCCTTGCAGGTTGACAGCATTCCAGCCTGCAAGGGGTTACTTGGGGCAGTTGGCACTGGTGGAACATGGCCAGGCACTGAGACTGTGGCAGGGCAGAGGGGGGGTGGCAGGAAGGTCCCTGCCCCTTCCAGCAGGGGAGAGCTGTGTGGCTGGGCTGGTGGCAGCCTGAGCTCACAGGGGCAAGGTGACTGGGAGATGCTGCTCAGGGGGAAGGAGGGGCTAGGACCAGGCTCCCTGGCATGGCACAGGAGTCCCCTTCCTCCTCCCTCCAGTCCATGCCGGGCCAGACTCACTCCGCTGCCACCCACATGAGCCGGAGGTGTGGCAGCCACTGCACTCTGGCCCAAGTGGGACAGGGACAGCTGGGGACCACTCTGGAATGACTGGGGCAGGGGTAGGAGACTGTGTCGGGAGTCAGGGACCCCAGGATGGCCAGGGAGCAGGGGACTATGGGGCCTGCACTAGTAGGACCAGGGGGGTGTGGGATGGAAGTTAAGATCACTAAGCAAGTCCTTGTAACTAGGGTGGCAGGGGTACTGCCTTGAAGACTGGGAGTGAGGGCAATTGTGTTGGAGAAACAAAAAGGATACTGGTATTAATCTTCTCATTGCTAATATATCTGGCCTTTTTTTCTTAGCTATTTAAACAAGTAGAATGAAGTCCACAGCTCTCTGCTGGAGAGAGTGGATTAACAGTGCATTCTTTGTTTTCTAACTGTGTTGACTGTAGAAGTCCAAGAAGAAAACATGGATCAGCCCAGTGGAAGGAGTTTCATGCAAGTACTTTGTGAGAAATACAGTCCTGAGAACTTCCCATATCGTCGTGGTCCTGGAATGGGGGTGCATGTGCCAGCAACGCCGCAGGGATCACCTATGAAAGGTAGAGTTTCAGGTCACTCTGAGCATGGAGAGTGTTGGGACTGAGTGCCTACATTCATCTGAATACAAAGATCCCACTGAATGGCTAAGCCAAACAATCGCACTTGTATTGTTGTTAATGACAAACCACACAATAGAGTTTCTAGGCATGTTATGCTAGCACCTTGTGGGTGTTACTTCCCTCTGTTCTCATTTGCTGTAAGGAAATTCAGAGATGTTCATGAAGTTCTACTGTTCCCAAGCACATCCTTGTAGCTCCTAGGATCCAAAAGATTTGTATCCCTATTTTTAAGGCCTTAATCCAGAGCTCAGTCAATTTTGCTATCTCTAATCTTCCCACCCCCCCCCAAATCTGGGTTATAGGATTTTCTTCTCATTTTAGTCATACAGTCTTGGTTTAAGAGGACCGCACCAGAGCCACCATACTGTTAACCATGTTGGTTATCTCTAGTTGTAGCTCTAGTTTAAATTTCCATCAGGTCGACTTATATCATAAACTAGCCCCAAGGAAGCGTGGGGGTACGCAGGGAAATTAGTTGGATGAAAATGATAAATAACGAGGTTTGACAAAAAGGGAGCAAAAGGGGTCAGTTCAGTCAAGGACAAAATATACTGTGTGCTGTTCAGAATGAATGACAACAGAGGATCTTGCAGATAGTTTCGCTGTATCTTCTATTTAATACACTACACGCGTTAAAAACAGGGTTCTGTCTTTATATTCTGGGTGTCCCTAAAGTATAGTGTCTGCCACGTATTCGAATCTCACATAATGGATTCAAAACTCACAAAATATTTCACTGTGTTCATGTTCCATCACTTATTAGCTTTTCACTTCATAGAATCGCTTGATTCTTAGAATTAAAATCTTAAATCGTATTCTGTGAGTATAAGCTTTTTTTTCCACCAACTGTTAGAATCAAAGAGTCAAATGCAATGAAGTACTGAAACTGCTGAGTTTTTTGACGAGATTCTGCACAGGCTTTTTACTTGTTCGCTTCACCGGTTATTAAAATCAAAAGTGCATTGCCTGACGTGATTCTATCAATTGGCCGACTTGGTAATCTAAAAATACATCATAAATACTGAAAGTATTGCAGTATCATTTAATGTTGGCCACAATTAATGAAGCAGGAATCCAGAAATCTCATCACCCCCATCTTATAATTCCATATCTTTACAATGCACCTTTTGTCATGCGGTGGTCAAATATGGAGAATAAAAATTTTACTATTTTAAGAACGATAATATCTTTTGTTGCAACTCATATCTTGAAGTGCTTTACAAGGACATGTCAGAGAAATTATTTTGTACTTGCAAGTTGCAAGCTGTGTGATGCCTTCTAGCCATCCATGGAATTTCCATATTGAAACAACTTCCTGCTATTTATTAAACATTCTTTAATTTTTATGTTGGATTTTCTTTGTTTGGTAAAATCAACCCATGATTGTGTGTGTGTGCGCACGCGCATGTGCCCATGTCACTGCTTATAACATAGGTATGCAAATCTTTACCTGCATTACAACAGTATTTTAAGGGTGTTCTGCCAGATCAGAAGTGAAGTCCCAATGTAAGGTGGGTGAGACCAGTTACACTTGTATAAACGCTGTGATCAGTAGAATTGCTGCCACAATTATTTTTAATTTCAGTGGATTTTTTTTTTTTTTTTTATAAACATTCCTTTGCATTTGCTAACTGAAATGGTTCGGCCTTGTAGTAAGGCACGAAAGCCTAAAAGTAAACTGTATTAGACGTGGAATTTAAGGCAAAATGGTACTTACCAGTCTGCTTTCATTGTCTGGGTTGAAAGAAATGCAAATAGCTGGTAAAATGTTTCAAATCTTTAAAATAGGAAACCTGAAGTAGCAAAATATATGTTTAGAATGTTTTATCTTTACTTTGGAATCCCTTTAATATGTATCCAGCACCTGGAAGGTGTGAATTGTTAAACTGCTTATTAATTCTTGCCCTTTGCTGGATTTCATATTTCTCTGGTTTGTGTGTTCTGAGACCTAGGGATGAACTCACCGAGCTAGGGAAAGCCAAGGCCGACTGAAAGGTATCTTGTTCCTCTGCCGTTTCAGATCGTCTCAACCTCCCAAGCATTCTAGTACTGAACAGCTGTGGAATCACCTGTGCAGGAGAGGAGAATGAAATTGCTGCTTTCTGTGCTCATGTGTCTGAGCTGGATCTTTCTGACAATAAACTTGAAGACTGGCATGAGGTAAAATGACTATGCATGTACCTTGCAGAGCAGTAATAACTTCTGCTCTTGCTGCTTGTACTTTTTAAGTTTTATGAGACTCTTCTCAGTCCTTTCAGCGTTGGCAAACGCACCCATCTTCATAGGTTCAAGTTCACCTTCAAAGATTGTGTATTGCTCTGTAGCTGTCAGAGTAAATATGCTTGATGAATGTAACACATTCAGGCACTTCACTTGGGGATTTATAATCGCACCCTGTAGGGGACAAATATATTTTCCATCAGTGCAGAGTACTGACAATCCTAAAACACCAAGAGGTTAATGAGCAATGTAGATTATTTAATTGCAGGAGCGTAGTCAAGAGGTCTTGAGGGCAGGTAGTTAAGACTCCTGGGTTCTGCTCCCACTAATGTTGTTTGATTTGGGTCATGTTGTTTATCCTGTCTGTCTTTAGTTTTCCTGTCCTTGAAGCAGGATTAAGAATGCTCGCCTATGTTAAGGGGGTTTGATGAAACTTCATGTGAGGCTGGTAAAGTACTGTGAGGTGCTTGAATGAAATTTGCTATATAAATGCAATATGTTATTAGTGGAATAAATATAGTACATTTAAGTGTCCTATACTCTTGCCAGCTCACGCTGTACTTTTATCCTACTGTTAATTACTGGAAAAGACCCAATGTGAAATCTTAGGGGCAGTGGTTGTTGGGTTTTGTTTTTTTTTGGGGGGGGGGTTAAGTCTCTTAATCCCCAGTTATTCTAACTTCCAGTTTCTTTAAAAAACTAATGAATATTGTTTTGTTGGAAGTCTTCTTCCTTCAGAACAGATGTTGCAAGGCCAGGGACAGCAGTAGAATCTTCCTTATCCAGCCTTCACCTCAACACTCACTGGAGGAGCCACCTTTGTGGTCTCATCTCCATGGCCGTCCATCCACTGAGGCTGCCAACTAGAGTTGATTAGTGACAGTGGTGATGATAGTGCTATGATAACAGACATCTGTTCGTTAGGAAGTAGGGTGAAACTACTAGCTTATGTTGCCTCCTAAAAGTCCACTAGATTCTAGTTCACTACTTTCTGATTGTGCTTTTTTTAGTCCTACAATATTATTAAAAGCCATGATCAGCTGAGAGATGCACATATGCTCCCTGCCTTTTCTACTCTGCTTTCTGCTTCCTGTCCTGTGTTCCCTGCCACTGGGGCGCCCATCTCCTCCCTGATCTGTTGTATGCTACAACATGCCACTTGTGGCGTGCATGCTGCAGGTTCCCCCACCCCCAGGCTGACCTGTCCTTAAAACCCTTCGATGAAAACTAAGTGCACTGTTCCAAAGCTTAACTATCCTTTTAATTAGAAATATCTACTATAATTTCCCCTGGTTGCAAATTAAGCCAACTACTTCTTGTTTTGCCTTTGACAGGCAGGGAGAACAATTTGGCACTGTCTTCTTTATAACACCCTTTTTTTTCTCTAATTGCTTGCAAAAGCGATCACATTCCCCTCCATTTTCTTTTCTCTAAACTAAAGAAATCGGTTCTTTCAACTTCCCTTGTAGATCATGTTTTCAAAATCCTTTACAATTATTTGTCGCTTTCCTCTGTGCTCTCTCCAATTTGTCTACATCTTTCTTCAAGTGTGGTGCCAGCAGTGGTATGCTGTCCTCCAAATGAGGCCGTGCCAGTGCCAAGGAGAGCAGGATAATTACCTGCCATCTTATGCATGACACTTCTGTTAAAATCTCCCAGAATGATATTTTGCCTCTTTTGCAACATCATTACATTGCTGTCTTGTATCTGGTTTGCAGGCCATTGTAACCCTCACATCATTTTCTGTAATACTGCTGCCTTGGCAGTTATTCTGCATTTGGTATTTGCACTTGATTTGTCCTTCCTAAATGTTGAACTTTGCCCCTCTCTTTGTTGACTTTCATTTTGCAGCTCTCGGATCCTTTCGCCAGTTTACCAAAATCGTTTTGAATTCCAAGCGTATTCTCTAAAGCGCCTACAGCCCATCATCCCAGCCTGGTCTCGTCCCCAGATTTTTATAATTGTGTTCCCTATTCCATCATTCAAGTAGTTGAATAGAAACACTGAATAGGATTGAACCCCTGTGGGACCCTGTTGGATTGGTTTGAGTCTCACAGCAACCCAGTCACTATTTTTGGAGCATGTTTATCGAATAGTTTTGTAGGTCTTTCTAGGAACTTGGTCTAGACCATATTTCCCTAGGTAGCTTATGAGAATGTCATGGGCACTGTCATAAGCCTGACTACAGTCAGTCTTTCACTTCATCTGTTTCCCTTCGTTTGCTAGGCCCGTTGCCCTATTGAAGAAGAAAATTAGATTGGTTTGACATAATTTGTTCTTGTCCTTCTCTTATCCCCTAGATGTTTACAAATTGACTGTTTAATCATTTGTCCCAATATCTTTACACATGTTGAAGGTATTTTAGACAAATACCTGCCTAGTCTTATGCCCTGAATTTATATTCTGCACCCTTTCAGATGTGTGTGTGTCTAGCTTCTCTGTCTTCCTAATCATTCACCCCTTACTCCCTACCGATATACCTCCAGGTGCACACCTGGTACTTACCAACAGCACAGCTAGCCCCAAGCACTGGTATACAAATGTTCAGATTTGATTCATAACCTTCCAGCTTCAGCACCATGTGTTTTAAGAAAGATGATGTTTTCCTGGAGTAATGGAATCTAATAAGAAATTCATCGTGTGTACAATGAGCTTCTATCAGTCTTTTATTTTAGGCTTGTAGGGAGCAATGGAAAACTGAGCAATTGATCTGTATAACCACCATAAGCTCAGAGCCCGTGCCTTTCCTTCTTTGCCCAGAGAAGGGTATAGTAGCCTTTTGAGATGCTGGCTTCTCCGGTTTGCTGTTTTGTAGACTGGTGCTCAGGTGAATTTTATGACCTCTCCCAAGGGATCTGCTTTCCCTTATCAAGCTGTTCTAAGAGAATAATTAAATGAACTGTTGAGGTGAACGAGCAATTAGCCAATCAATCTAGATCAGTGAATAGCTGGAGTATGAATTACAGATAGTTATCAAGAAGCCCTATTTTTTACCATATATTTCTTTGGCGCAGTCAGACTGGAGGGTCCCTTTTAGGAGATGAAATTTTATTGCACAAGGTCTGATTACTTCTTGATACACTACTTTCTCTCTCTCTCTCTCTTTCTCTCTCTCTTTTTTTTTTTCTCCCAACCTAGGTCAGTAAAATTGTGTCAAATGTTCCCCACTTGGAGTTTCTAAACCTGAGTTCCAACCCTCTGAATTTGTCAGTTTTAGAGAGAAGGTGTGCTGGGTCTTTCTCTGGTGTCCGCAAACTTGTGCTCAACAACAGCAAAACTTCCTGGGAAACAGTCCACACAATACTCCAGGAATTACCAGAGTAAGCATGGGGAGCTTGGCATGGAGGGGAGAAGTGCCTGCTGCATGCAGGCAAAGTATGCCTGTGCCAGGAGAGGTGGGGGTGAGTGGGAAGAGCAGAGGAAAATCCTGATTTCATTTCTTTTGGGGGTTTCACTATGTTGTGATGCTCAAGGCACATTTTCTTAATCTAAATATTGGTGCTGAGTTAATGGATTATAATCCTGATTATTTAGTATGTGACATCCTTTCCTCTGAGTCACTTCTGAATGAATGGCACTGCACAGTGCTGTGCTCATAGCTTTTGGATGAGATGTAAATCTGAGGTTCTGGCCACTGGTCATTAAAGATATTGTCATGTTTTTCATGAATTGACTTGTTTGAGTTGCGTCTCAGCCAAAATCCCACTTGGCAGTGACAGTCTGCCTCCCTGAATTTCCTGGACAGTTTCATCTGGATACCAGGTTTCTCTGTAAATCCAACCTTACTGCTGTATACTCAACTTTAATAAAGGCAACCGTAACTAAGCGTGTATTATTAGGACATCTCACAGGGAACCAGTTTAGCCCTCTTATAATTAATAGTAGTAATCGCTATTTATCTGAGGTGTCGGTAGCATAAATTAATAGGGATTTTGACAAGAATGCCCATACCCTTGGCTATGAAAGGAAACGTTCATTTATGCCCTATAATTAGTAAATACCTGAGTCCATGTAAGTGCTGGTTTAGGCTTCTTGCAGGTGCAAATAACTCGTGCATTTAGGCCAGAGGTGGTGGTGGTACGATGCCAATTTATAATGCTTCTGTGTGTACGTGCATTAAGTGATAGATTACTAGGAAAGCCTTTGAAGTTTAAGAAATTTTAGCAGGGAGTTGTCCCTGTGAAGTGCACTTTCAACTATTGGTGAAGCAGAGGCCTGGGTGAAAACATATCCCAAAGTCAAAAGATTCTCAGGATGCTTGAAACTGAAAGATGCTTTGGAAGACCTTGTGTTGCAAATTGTGCACAGTCCACATTTAAGCCATGTGCATAGGCCTCTCGAATCATTTCTGTTTCACAGGGACTCTGGAACTAAAAGTTTGTTTCTTTCCCTGTGCAGCTTGGAGGAGCTCTTCCTGTGCCTTAATGACTATGAAACAGTGTCTTGTTCTCCGGTTTGCTGTCAGTCTCTGAAATTGCTCCACATAACTGACAATAATCTTCGGGACTGGACTGAAATCAGAAAGCTTGGAATTATGTTTCCGTTGCTTGACACGCTTATCCTGGCTAACAATCACGTAATGACCATTGAAGACTCGGAAGATTCTCTGGCAAGGCTGTTCCCAAACTTGCGATCCATAAACTTGCACAAGTCAGGTGAGGTACACGCATAGATGATGCCAGTGGAGCTGAGAGGGGGAGAGTAATATTCTCTTCTCAGTGCAATCTAAACCTATGCTTAAACAGGGTGGGGAAGTGCACTGGTTTGCTGTAATGGCTTCCTGCACCTTTTGAAGGCGCATTCTGCAGTCAGCATTGCTTTCTGTTGGTTGCTGCTGCATTACGTAAATGAAGACAGGTGAGGGGGTGGATGAAAAGCATAAGCTATCTGCAGTAAAGTGGGAATGCATGTGTTCATTGGTGATCTATTGGAGCCTGCCATCACCTTGGGCCCTGTCTATTCTGGCTGCTGACCAGTCTAAACAGAATTGATAAATGCAGCCCAGACAGGGCTGCAGTGCAAGTATGCCTGTATCACTAATTGAGCTAGAGATCCCTTATGCCATGAGTTGTTCCCTCTCTGCACTTGCCAGCCAGACTGCATTAGAATGCAGCTAGGCTCTCCTGAGGGAGAAGTCCAGGCTGCAGTGTCTGGATCCAAAGCCTCCCCAAATTTATGGGGTGGATATTAGTTCTTCTTTTCATAAGCCTTAGATACCTACAATATGCACATATCAGGAGTAGGATTCCCAATATCTGGAAAAGCAGCAGTTACTGTGAGGTAAGTAACTGATCTCTCCTGGATTTGGGTCATGCTGTCTCTGGAGCTATAACAATTTTGAGGGTGGGTCATGTCAGGGCAGTATGGGTGGACTTGATGTGATCTCATGTGTGGAGTCCCCAAGTTGGAGCTGGTTCCCAAGATCCCGAGCAACATGCAGACTTTCTGTAACATTTTTCAGTGAGGCTTCAACTCTTGCAATGAAAGAGATGAATGTGTTCTGCATTACATTTGCCATTGGCCCTGATCTAAGGTTTAGAAATGCCATAGGAGCTCATGGCATTGCTCTGAGATCACACAAGGAGAAGCCAGACCAATAACTTTAAGAAAACAGTGCGAGGAGAAGAGGGCAAGCAAGAAAGCAGCACTCTTCCCTACCCCATCTCTGTTCTTTTCAGCTCCTCCAGCTTCTCCTAGCACTTCCTTGTTCTCTAAGTAATGGTTCAGGCTCACAGGTGGATCTGCTGCTATCAGTCAGATGTAATGGGCAAGGTTCACTGCCGTGATAGAGCTGATATCCTAACAGTGGACTTTTAGGAGTGGGGGAAATGACCAGTGGTGGGGGAATGAAACAAAAAAAGTTAACGTGCAGGTTGCCAGAGGCCAGCAGATGTTTTTTGCCTTCAACTCCCCATGTGTTCTGGGGAGGAAAAAACATACTTGTAGCTGGAAAAAAATGTCTGTAACTGAGGAGTCAGTCTCTGTTCTGAGGCCAGGCTATAGTAAAACTACCCACAAGATTCTGGCCTTGGCTTATAGGGGCGTGGTATCACAGTGGTAGGTGTCAGGGATCAAATTTTACAAATATATCCCATGGCCTGTATTTGCTTTCCATACCAATGGCATCCACGTACCAATAGAATCGAGCTTACCAGAAGCCGTGTTTTAGGTTTCTTTATAGATCTTCCCCAGATCCTTTTCTCAGAGTTGTGACCTATTTCCATAGCAGCAAGCACACATTGCAGCCAGTGATGTGTGGTCACTCATTGTTGGCCCCATCTACTGTGCTTCCTAGGCTGAATCGGAGAACCTAGGCTTCAAGCACCACATTAAAAAAATCCATATTCCTAGTGATTGAGCTTGTGTGTGTGTGTAAAAAAAAACCTCTGCCTGAATTCCTGGTGAATTCTTGTTCCAGTTTGGCTGCCTTACCATTGGTCACCAGTCCTTTTTATCTCTTTCTTCCCTAAAATACCTTTTAAAGGTTTTATTATAGACCTATTTAATTCATCATCACTGTTGTTGCTGTTGCTTTATTATTACAAACCCTTAGAGGGCTTAACATGTTATTAAACACTTTCACAGGCATCAGTATTCTTCATAAGTACCAAACAAATAATCTAAAACCTCATATAGCAAGACAAATGGAAATTTTTTTAAGTAATTTGCTGAATTGTTGTGAAAGAACTGCCTGCCACATGAAGGCTTCTGGCTTGGCACCAGATGCACCAAAGTCCTGGATACTTTGTAATGCACACTGATGGTCTGAGGACCAAAAATCCCAAGACCCAAACCTGAGCTAAACCTTACAGGTGGGAGGAAACCTTGACAATGGAGAGTCTGTGAAAACTGATCATTTTAAAACCTTCATAACTGCTAGAGGAACTGAAATAACTGCCTAAATAAAGGCAGGGCATGAAGCCATCCATTGCACAGCTGTCCTCTGGCTAGCTATGATGTAGTAGATGAATTGAGAATGATCATTTTACAGGCAAAGCACTGCACCACTCCTTCAGACAGAGCAGGTACCAAAATTTGGCTATTACTATAAGTTTCCATATCTTCTAATTTTTGTGGAGGTTGAATGGTAGGTAGATGTGATACTTACTGATACCCTAATGTAAGTAAATAAAATATAAAACCAAACCTCTTGGTTTTCTCATCCCTCTTCTTAAGCTCATCCCTTGTCTTAAGCTGGCCCATGGGCCAGTCCAGTACCTGCCACTTCTGCCCTTGAAACAGCTGTTGCTGCTCAATATTAGTGAAGCTGCAGTATAAGGAATTGTATTATGTAAACTAATGCAGGACCAAGGTCATCAGTGACTTGCTCCTTGTCCTGCTGGCTCCTGTAGTCTAGCAGAGAGTGGTTTTTTTACGGGCCTTGTGATGGAGCCTGGCGGTGGGAGTTCCACCAGATTCTACTGTCTAGAGCAAACACCTTCAACAGCATAAAAAGGCTGATCTCTCTTTCAAATGCAGTTGTTTCTAGCCACCAAATTTCCTCTAGGTATACTTAGCACTTTGACCTATAGAGGCCAGGTTTCCACCTTCCTCCCTCCCTTTCCCCTTGGGAGGCAACAGTGAGTTGAGAGGATTAATATGACCCAAGTACCTACTGGCCTTTTTCTACTTTTGAAATCCATTTACAGCTGACCTCATGACTCCAGGGACATCTGGAATCATAGGTTGATTTGTCTAGTATATTGTACTTATGTGGAAGGAAGGAATGATATTGTCCTGTAAATTCCCACACTACAAGTAAGCATTGTGACTCTGGTCTGAAAGATCATTTACGCTTCTGAGATCATTGCAGTCTGTGCCACAACAGAAACGTTTGGCCTTAGCAGTCACATCCACATGAGCATGGACATTTGTTTTCCTGGGGATAAGTAGTGGCACACCTTGTGCCGCTGCTAGTTGTCCCTTGGGAACGCCTGTGCCATGTGCCCTCTGGCACGTGGCAGAGTAGGGGAGGCTGGGGCCAGCTCTGGGGTGGCCCCAGGAGCCTTACCTGGGGTCCTGGGAGCCTCCTGGTGCTGCAGCAGCGGCGATCCTGCCTCTCAGAGCCTGGCCGATTTAGTTGGAGTGTGGCTTCAGCTAGCCAGGCTCCAGTGTTGGACGATGTGTGCTGCCCCCACGTGCACTGCTCCACCTTTTTTGTGCAGGTTTTTTTGTTTTGGGGGGGTTGACCCTTTGATCTCCAGGGGCCAAAATCCACCCCCCAGCACTTTTTACCTTGCAGCACAGAGAACAGCTGAATGTGCTGTGTGGTGCTGCAGATGTGTCTGCAGCACTGCAGCGCCACATACCGCATGCCCGTGCTTGTCTGGATGCAGCCAGTATTTCCTTACTTGGATAAGTTAAATTAGGCCTCTGCTTTTATTTTAACTGATCTCCCATTGATGCTAGTTTCTTTTTATCTATTTTAATGGTGAAAGCCACACAACAGCTTGCAGTAAAAGTGCACAACGCTTGGTACTTAGTTAGGCTAAACATCTGGAATATTTGTGTAAGAAGCATGATGTATAAAGATATTTGTCTCTCAGAGTGAATGGAGGCAAAGGTAAGCATCATTGTTAATCCTGTTACGTGATCAAAGCAGCACTGTCGCATGATCTCAGCTTTCCTCACAACTTGCTTCCATTTTCAGAGACTGGAATTGGGTGAAGTTATTTTTATTAATAGGCTTTATGAATTAGGAAATGGGGTACTCCTAGCATGCACATTCAAATCAGATCCAAGATGATACCTGAAAGCTATTTGATGGCAATTTGGCAGTCCTGAAGTGATGCCTGTCCCGTGACTGTACTACTACTGGTACTTAGCCAGAGTTTTTATTCATTGAAGCATCTGTCATAATTGTTGGCATGCAGCAGAGGGGCCAAGGTCTGAATGGGACCTAGAGACTAAATTGCTTTCTGCCATTTAGATTGGGAGGACGCCATATGCCTGCTGCCACTTCATATAGGCACCAAAAGGGATTCCACCTCCTGTATTTCACAAGCAATAAACTGGCTTCAAACATCTCCAGTTGTCATCCTCCCATCTTGCATTTCTTTGGTCGTGTCTGGCATTCTTTGATGTATTATACATGCTTTATGTGTTTATTTAAAGAAGTCATTTCTTAAAGCAGGTCTACACTGCTGGGAAGACATTGACAAGCTAAGCTCTTTCCCCAAGCTTGAGGAAGTGAAATTGTTAGGAATCCCTCTTCTTCAGCCCTACACCACTGAGGAGCGCCGGAAGCTGGTAATAGCCAGGTCTGCTAGTTGTTTGATCTGCTCCATAAAATGCTGCACAATCCCAGGATTTGAGGCAAAATAATCAATATGTGGGAGCGTGGAGGGAGGAGAAGCATGTGATGGGGATACTGTTCACATGTTATGGATTTACAGTCTACCTAGCTATATTAATTGGCTTTTCTGAGTAAGAGAGGAACACAGAAGTTGAAAGAGCTGAAACTTGCTTTTGGAGTTCACAAGTCCCTTGGGTGTCTATGAGCACTTCTCCAAACTCCAATGACTTCTGGAAAGACTTCTATTGACTTTAAAGGTACTTGAATCAGGCCATCAAATAATTTGAACTAGTTAGGATGCTCTTAAACCTCTAAATGATACAGTCCCATTGTTACAATAGATATTTTTAGTCCCTATTTCAACAGATACAAGATCAAATTTTTTGGTTATTTCTAAGTTAGATTTTTGTACTGCGATTTTCTTTTCTTTCAACATGCATAATGGATTGGAAAGGTTCCACAGTCCTCATCTCTTGTGTTTAAAGGGATATGTAATGGCCTTCTGGCTAAGATCAGGTGGACTTTTTTTACCAAAATCAAAAGTAGGGGTTTCTTCTCTCAGTGCTACTTTACCCCCACCTTATATGCACTTTTTCTGCACAAGGGAAAAGTGGGCAAGGTGGGGGTGGGGAGAATTTTGTTTTCCAGTAGCTAAACCCACTTGAACATGCTTTCAGTTTTAGGGGGAAACATTTTACACAAAACTTCTCTTAAACACCTCAGTGGGGAAAAAAACCGGAAAATGCTCAGGCCCCTTTTAGGTCTTTCATTTTGAGGCACCCAAATCACTTGTCACTTCTACACTCTTAGGCCCGAGTGTCTAAAGTCAAACTCGTAGTTTGGTCTCCTAGTTGTATTTCTGGCTTTTCTGTTGGGTGCTATGAGTCAATTTTGCTTGTCTCAATTTTACCAACACCACAAGGAGTATAATGACAGTGTACTTTTGTCTAAGCCTAGTAAATGTTTGTTTGCAAAGAGCTTTGACAGCTTCTAATGGCTTGCAGTAGAAGGTGTGTGTCAGATTATATATAAACTTGTATATACACTTTCTCTAAAAAAGCTGCATGAGACTTGCTTGCTTTAGAGAACGTGATCTTAGGTTCTAGGCTCTGTGGTGTGATTCCCCGTAGTGATAGAATTGCACCATGCAGCTCTTGGCTATCGCTGATCATCCTTGCTGAGTTAACATGTTCTCACTAAGTCTGTCTTGATGTCTACAAGCAGATTGCCGTCTGTCATCAAGCTAAATGGGAGCGTTGTTGCTGATGGGGAACGAGAAGATTCGGAGCGCTTCTTCATTCGGTATTATTTGAATTTCCCCCAGGAGGAAATCCCATTCAGGTATGAATGACCTGGAATTCAGCGACTATGCAGTGCACAGGAGAGAACAGTTTTTACAGGCTAAAGAAGGTTTTGCAGGCTAAATAAGACTGGAAAGTGAGGCTGACTTTGATTAAACCAAAAAATTCCTTGCTCCCTCCCATCTTTCTCTGTCAGTGTATATTAATTGACCTCCCTGACCCTCCAGCCATACAGTGAATGTATCTGGTATCTCAATGAGTCACTCTTGTGTCAAATCTGGCTTCAGACTGCCCTGTCCAAGAGTCTCTAGGTAACATGACTGTTCCCTTCATTGCTTTTTGAGGGCAACCCACACCTCCGTCTAACCAATCCCCCTGCCTCCTGGAGTTCCCTGAATCTACACTGATTCTGCTGTCAGGTGGCAGTGCTAAGTGGCTTGTTCTCTTGCATCTCTGGTGAGCTGACTAGTTCCAGTGAGAAAAAGATTTCCCTCTTTCTTTCCAAAACTCAAATCGCAGGTTTGGTTGTTTTTGTTGTTGTTTTGTTTTCCCCCCTTTGCCAGACAAATGTGCTCAGCGGTCAGGTGATCTGAGTAAATGAATGGAGTTTGAGAGCAACTATGTAGTGCTGTCTATAACCTAAGATGTTTAGTGCTTGTTAATGGAATGAGGAAGGCCATAGTATTTTACACTGATGGAGTTTGCATCCCAAAGCCCACTGCACTTTTCAGATAATGGGATCTTGTATGTTTTCCCATGAGTAGGAGAGTAGATGTGAGATCCAGGGAGTTCAAGTGAATGGTCTGCTTGGACCCACAGAGTCTGTTTCAGGGCTGTGAACACAATGCATAAGTCCTGACAGCTGGCCTCTTATGCTAACAGGCAAAATGTCCTCTGGTTACAAAGAGCTGATTTACTAGAGCAATAAATACATCAAATGGTTAGCACAGGTAAAATGGGAGCTGCCGGTAATACTGTATGGATATCCTAGGTCTTTGGTGTTTCCTAGAGGATGACTAGGGGTTAATTCAGGCTTGGGTGGATTTTGCACTTCACTGATTGTAGAGAAGAACAATACTAGTGTCTGTCCCTTTGAAGTTTACCCTGGAAAGGTCCTTGTAACCTCAGGGGGCCTTCAGGTGGGAAAACTGAAACAGCATCCTCTGGAACTAATGAAAATACAGTCCTTTCTCAGAAGAGGGAGAGAGGCAGAGACTGCAGGAGCTTAGGCTCTCTTTCCCCACGCTGAATGCAGTGTCTGAAGTTGGCTAGATTCTGCATAAGCCTTTAGGTGGGACTGACAGAAGTGTTGGCATCTTATTGTTTCAAAGAACCTTCATCCATAAGACGCGTTGTTCCTGCTCCTAGTAAATAATGCTTTGTTTTGAAAAAGCCAATGTATGTCATTGCGTTCACAAATTAGTCACAACTTCTGAAGGACAGGCTTGCAGGGCAACTAAATCTAACCAGGCCTGCTGAGTAAACCCAGTTAAGAACCCTTAATTTATGTTATTCTGTGTTCCTAATCCTAAAATGAAATAATACTTTGTTTCTGGAGAAGCTGTTTTATGTCCCTGCATTCGCAAGCTGGTTACAGTCTGCAAAGGATGGCATTGGAGCCAGTCTACCAGCTGAGTAAACCCAGTAGGAGTATCCTAGTTGACCACATGTAAGAGTTGGAGGAATTGTCTGATTCCAACCCGAGAGAAATGAAAGAGTGCACTCGCAAAAAAAGCAAGCTGGGAGTTGGAGGTGCAGCTCACCCTGTCACTGATAGGGGTTTGATTGCAAAAGGGTTTTTTGAGAAGGGCTAAGAGATAAGAACTCAATTTCTTGTATGCAGCCTTTAAATGCTTTTGTGCCTAGCATGAGGGAATTGGATCTCTGCTTAGATACCACAGCGGTGGGTGTCCTATACATATTGCAATGATAAATTAACAAGAATGGGATGATTTGGGTTTAGCCTCACTTGCACATCAAGCTGTCATGAAGGTTGTGTTTGTGCAGTACCTTGCACAACACCACTCTGATTCAGTTTGGGATCCTTGGCACTTTAACAGCCTGAAATATTACAAATACTCCTAACGTCCATAAAGCTGGTTTTAAATTTAGAGTGAGAGCCTTCCTGAGCAACTTGCTATCTCTTCACATTATCTATGTAAGACTTGCAGGGAGATAAGGGAGACTTGTATCCCCGTCTGATTCCTAACCTTTAAACACAGTTGCATCCATCTTCCTGATCAATGGGCTCTTTGTTTGAACTCCTTCATCTGTACAGCAGCTCTTCAAGACCTGTGCAGCTATTCAAGGCTGTTTTTTCCATTCCAGAGAACTTGTGTGCCATTTCAGAATATTTTCAGACCGTGCTGCAGATGGCTGAGGAGGTATTGCCAGTGCTGTGGTCAGGTTTCATTTCCTGGCCCCTTTTTGCTACCCCTGGGGTCTCTTGCAAAGAGCTGTGTTCTTTCTGGAGTGGATATTTTTTTTTTTTTTTTTACCTCTTTCTTCCTCCTACCTCAGAATCTGGTATGGTATCTCCTCTCAGACCTGTCTTTGAAGTCTGTTCAGAGTAAGAATCAGATCGTGGACAAGTGCACCTCATTGACTGGCAGGGACACAGACTGCATTGCTCATATGCCTTCCAAAAGCAGATGAGCAGGACCTTCCTGGATATGAAAGATTTGCTAACAGAAATGATGCTCTCTGGACCACTCTGCACCATGAGGCATGTCATGTTAACGAACAAAAAGAAGCGTGCTGTCTCTAAGGTCTAAATTAGTCTGGTTGCATGATAGCTGTTTGGACACTACATGCTGAAGCACTTGGAAAAGGAGCAAAATGTGCAGTCTGATTTCCATCTTTCCAAGGCATAGGGGCAAATCTGAGTGCTGATTTGTACAATCCAATATATTGGCTGACTTCTTGAGTGATGCCCTCTTGTCCATGGGTTTTTAATCAGCTCTATGCTTGTCTGGCCCACTGTTTATACATAGAACATTAGAGATATTTTTAGACCTGTTCATTCCTTTAGAATCTGCTTTCCTGGCAATCAGGGTCTGTCAAGTTGTGAAAAGTGATTATGTAAATCTCTGAGGTGCCTATTACCTAGCTATCAAAGAACCAAATGAGTCGTGTATGTTAGTCTTTATTGATTTGAGGGAATGCAGTTGTTTCATTTCCTAGCTTGCACTGCAGAATCTGAATGCCATACAAGGAAAGGAGTGCAAGAGGTTTCTGCCTCTCCCCAAGGAAGAGGAGTTGGGATCATTTCCCATGGCACACTGCATGCATGCATTTTGATAATGTTAGCAGGCTCATGCTTAGCATGCTTCCCTCCTCGTTCTCCACCTCCTTCACTTGAAACCCTTGTTTCCTGGTCCCACTGAGTGGGACTCTTTCCTGGTCCCACTGCGTGTCCCCACTCTTCACCTACAGCCCAATAGGAATCTGTTTGCAGGGAGGGAGGATAATGTTAAGCCTGCCCCATTGTGATAGAAGCTCGCTGCATCCCAGCCGCATGCAGCCTGTCAGCCTCTGCTGGGCTGTAAGAGAGAAACGGTTGAGGGTGGCAGCATGTCGGGAGCCGGTGCCACCTCGGAGAGTGCCGGTTCCAGCAGAAGCGTGTCCTCGCTCCTCGTTCCCCCTCCGCCCAGCCCAGCCCCTGCAGGAATTGATGCTGGTGGCATGTCCCACTGGAGGCACTGGCCCAGTGCACTGGGGAAATCCTCGTTTTTGGTGTCGGCTCGGTTAATGCTAATTTACCAGCAGGTGATAGCCCGGTTTGTCACGTATGAGGAATGTGTTGTCTCTTCTCCGAGCTAATGGTTTTCTAAATAGGCCTGATTTTTATCTCCCTGTTTATTGTGAGACCAGGACAGCAGCCTGTATTTGGACACTCTGCCCCGATGAAAGCTCATTTTGTCTGGGACGCTAGGGAAATCCTAGTGTGCTGCGGCCGTTACCTCATACTCTGAGCAGACAGAGGCCCCGCTGTTGTGGAGGAACATTCCTACATTTAACATGAGTCCCCGGGGTCCTCCGTATTGCCAGGCTCCATCATCCCCTGACAGGGGCAGTGACACAGCACTGATCACATTAAGCTTGGAGTCGGATGGAAAACAAAAAGAGCTTTCTGTGCGGTGCACAGTGGAGAGACTCTGAAATGTTACCTCCTCTCTGCTGCTCTCTGGCATTGTCATTTCAATTACCTTGTACTTTGTGTTGACTTTTTGCCACTTTCCCAGCCAGGCAGGAGAGATGCTACCTTCCCTTTCCTGATTGAAGAGATATCTTCTAGGAGGAAGGGGGGTGGTAAAGAGGAGAGATGTGCTTCTTCCAGGGAACCTCTCTCTCTCTCTCTCTCTCTCTAGCTGGACCTTAAGGACTTGTCTACATAGGGAGATTGCCAGACAGGGCTGTAGATAGCAGTTTAAATCTCCTGCTCTGTTGTTATAGAGGAATAAAAGTGAATAGTTATCTTGGAATAAAGTCACTTGTACGCTGAAAATAGTGCCCATGTAGGAATTTACAGTGCTTCTTGTCCCATGTTCCTACGGTTCTGCTGGTCGGTTTTCCCATGTAGATAAGTCTTAGCAACTGCATTAACCCCCACAAGGACCTCTAAACCTCTCTATGCCCTCCTCCAGTCAAGGGCTAGGTTATGAAGACTGTCCCTATTTTTGTGAGACTGAATTCAGTTCATATGCCAAGCATGAAAGGGGCATCTCAGCAATTCATTACTCCCCTTGTTGGTTTTGAAAGTGTATTATGCTTTAGGTAGACAAGGTTCTTTGGGTGAGTCTGATATCTTTTATTAGACCAACCCAAATAGTTGGAAAATAATTATTAAGCAAGCTTTCGGGTTCAAAAACCCTTCTTCAGGCTAAGGAAGTTTCAGCAGTTGGTGTGTGCTCTTCCTTAGGTCAAATTGGCCTCCTGGCAGATGCCCTGATAGTCAGGTTGGGTGGCCCAAAATTAGAAATCTTGACCAAAGAGCTTTGAATAGGATTAAATATGGATGTTCCTTTAGCCAGGTATTATTCTGATAGGTAATTTAATTATATTATAATAATATAATAACAGTATTCTCCCTCCAAATCCAGGCAAATATTTTCCTATTTCTAGAAATCTTAACATAGCAGTACTGTTTTTCTTAGCTTCCCAATTGGAAAGGAGTATTTTCTGAGTGTCTCTGGATGCCCCGTGCACTTCTTGAAATGTCAACGATTCCTTCTTAAACAAGATTCTCTACCTAGGGACAAGTTCAGTCTATTGTCTGTTTTCCTGTGTGGCTTTGGGCATGGAGTGAGTTAAGATTAAGTGAACTCTTTTTTCCTTCCCCTCCTCCTCTCCCCTGAAAACTCGAAACATCATGGTCTAGATTTATCCTTTGTGAAAGTCTCCTTATATTGATTGACTTCCTTTGGAGGTGAATGGTACCATGTATAAATGAAATATAATGTGGCCCCCTCTAAAGTCTCCAAGATTTAACAAACCTCGGTTGCAAATGTAACGGTAGTTGTAACTGGTGGTTGCTACATGATGCAAGGATATAAGTGGGGGGGGGTACGTTGTTATTATTACTAAATTCCAGCAAAACTCCCTTCTTTGTCTGTAGGAGGGTGATCCTTATTAACTAACTTGAGGTGAAAACTTAAGTGCTAGTTAACTCAATTTTTACTTACTGGAAAGGGGCATATGTTTTAGTTAATGAGAGACAGAGGTGACTTACAGTTCAGCTATGTTGAGTTCTGTTTTTGGCTTGTGCTGAATCAGTGTGTGGCATGGAAAAATCACATCCTACATTATTCCATCTGTAAAATGGCTACCACAGCTGCCTCACATGGTTCAGCTTAAGCCTTACCATTTATTTGCTGGACCTTGAAGTCAGAGGGACATTGTTAGCATCAGTTACAGAGTGCAGATAGGTTGCAAGCAGCAAGCCAGTGATGCGAGCAGTTAGGATGTAACTTTGCGTGTGTTTTATTTTTGTAGGTATCATGAGCTGGTCACAAAATACGGGAAGCTAGAACCCTTGGCAGTAGTGGATCTCCGACCCCGGAGCAGTGCGAAGGTGGAAGTTCACTTCAAAGAACAGGTGGAGGAGGTGTCCATCCGCCTGGACCAAACAGTGGCAGAATTAAAGAAACAATTAAAAACTGTCGTGCAGTTGTCAACAAGCAACATGTTGCTGTACTACTTTGATCACGAAGCTCCCTTTGGTCCCGAGGAGATGAAATATAACTCACGGGCGCTGCATTCATACGGCATTCGGGATGGAGATAAAATTTACGTGGAGAGCAAAACTAAATAGCCTGTTCTGGCTTTGTGCACGCACATACACACATTCCCGCACACACACACGCACACACGCACACACATGCACACACACACACGCACATACTAGGGACTTTTTGCAAGGTTGTTGATTGGGTTGATTGAGGCTTGATTTGGTTTTCTTTTTATACCAGGTAACTTCTTAGCCCAGGTAGTGTGACAAGATCTGCAAGACCCATGCCACTGTTTAATACGGAGGAGAGAGCTGACATCAGTGTGTGTTCATTTTGGACCGTGTGATACCTTGATGTTCTCATCGCTGCTCCGCTATACTCGTGAATATGGCATCGATGGTCAGTTGTTTGAGCTAAGGGTGTTAGGGTCCTTTAATCGGGGGAATTGGGGTTTGCTGCTGAATTTGGTGATCTTTTCCATTTGTTTAAAGATTTAGTAAGGCACTTGTCCACCCTGCTGTCTGCCTCTGGCTAGAAGGAGCTGCATTAATTGCTATTTATCCAGCTAGATAATGTTGCTTAACTATGTTGGTTTTTTTTTTTTTTCCTGTTGAATTTAGTGAAATAATTTTAAGTAGTTTAAGCCTGATTCAGAGCTTAGGTATTCAGGGCATCCCAAACTCCACTAAATGTGCATAAATAAATGAGATGCAAGGGGGAGAGTCGCACCTAAAAATTTGATGCGCAAAGTTCACTGCCCAGATCAGCGGGCTTGACGCTGATCTCCTGTAAGCTGTTTAGTTTTAGTGGTCCTCCGGCATCCTGTGTCAGTGCGTGACGCCATGGATGCTACTGAAAGTCTGGAGTTTAGAGGACTTTGAGCAAACATGTTGATAAGTGACCTGCAGAAAGCTGTGGAGGTTTTTGGCTGAGCTTTGCATCAGGCTGGAATCCAGATCAACAGCACAGCGGGAGGCTGAAGAGGATACTAAGTTCAGGTATTTGAGTATGCCCTGAATACCTAAACCTTTGGAATACCCTTTTCCTGTTGGTCGCTGGAAGTCCACTGATAAGCACTTCGCATTTTGATTAGCATTGAAGGCAGAAAGGCTGAGCTGTCGTATAAACTTGAAGTCTCGCTTCTTGCTGTTGTTCCAGAACCTAGCAAAATCCTCCCTCCCTTTAATGTGGGCTCCCTCTTTAGGATAGGTAATGTGGGAACACTCTCACCTGGATCATCTTACAAAAGGCAAGTAAATGAGGAAGGGGACTCGCAACCACCGTAAAGCTGATTCCCAGTACTCTGCTTTGGCTCCCCCCTCGTCCCCCATAAGCATTGTGCACTGCTTTTAAATAGGCCCCTTTTTCCCTTCGCAGCCGGGTCCCATCCTTCCAGTCCTGTTATGAAATCCTCGTTCCTTTTGTGCGTCTCTTGTAAGTCAGGCAGCTGTTTCCCTTTACAGGGCCCTTCCTTGTTCCTCTATCACATTGACAAGCTGAAGACATTGGAATTACTTAGTTTTAAGCAAGTGCATTTCTTTAATGTTTCTCAAGCAAGGTAGTCAGGGCTCTAGTTACGTATGAACTTTTGACCTTAGTTACTTAACATCCCCCACCTCCACGTGCACTTTCTTTCCCGTGATGCTTTTGTCCGAGTCACTGAACTCCTTTATATTCTTGGAGCTCTGTATTTCTCTTCATATTTTACCTGGATTGCAGGGGGACGAAATATAATCTCATGCCCTTCAGGTTCAGGATGTTGGAACTACTCAGACAAAAGTGGTTCCATAGCTAGAGTAAATGTAGAAATAGGTTAATTAATTGTGCCTGGTCTTCTCCTGCCAAAATATTTTATCTCCTGGCATCGTAGAGATGAGCAATATAAAATAGACCAAGGTTTGCATGTGTAAAATGGAGTTGACATTACCTGACTTGATCTAATAAGACTAAAGAACAGTCAGACGGTGACCGTGTAATATAAGTTGAGATCACTCTTGGTGCAGAGTGTGTTTTATAAGCTGTAGCTTAACTGAGGATGTATTTTCTGTCCATTTGGGTAGTGAAAGTGCTTGCTGCCCTGCAATGGAACTCCAAGCCAACACTTATGTATGATATATACATACGTAAACATAGGAGAAGTTGTGTTTAATAAGATATTTTATTATAAAACAAAGTTTTATGAAGATATGATTGTTTTAATATTAGAAAAGGCCTATTTCTCCTGTTGACCTATTGTACAAGTATGGTACCCATCAGTCACGAGATTGTCCAGGTTATGTGACTGATGCAGATATGAAGGAATACCTGATCTAATTCTATAGAACAGTAATTGCCTTTGTGGGTATATTTATGGCATTGTAACTGGTATTAATGAGACACTGTAATTACCGACCAACTCGTTCAGCACAACGAAATAACTCAGTTTCAGAGAAGGAAATAAACAATCAATTAAAGTGTTCAATGGGATATTAAAGAAGACCCAAGTATGTGCTTGTAAGTTTGTTTCCCTATGAGAAGCTTTTCGATTATCTGGAAACGGAATTGGTCTGGTCACTGTTTTGGCCCCGAAACATAAACTTTTTTTTATGATGGACCTGGTAAGTATGGGGAAAAGAGCAAAGGAAGAGAGGAGATTTTAAAGTAAAAGGCTAGCACACAGCACAGAGAGCTGAAGCTGAGCACTCACATATAACGGGATCAATGGTCCATCCAGAACTGTAAAAGACACAGCACAAACACTGCGGTCTCACTACTACACAGAGGCAAGGGCTGTTTCTGGCCAGTATTATAGAACCATTTGCATTCTGTGCAGCAGAATATGCATTTTTGTATTAAGAAAAATGATATCAGTTGATATCAGCTGCGAAAGCAAAGCCACACCAAAAAGGGAATGTTGTATGTATCCAGACACTCAGCCTTTGAAAACTCGGTAGAGACATGCAAAATATTTATAGCAAACTTCAAGATGCTCGGCGTTTTAGTGCCCATTGGCAAAATGTTCCCACTGAAAATGGGACTGTTTGAGCAAAACTATTTTCACAGTTTTGGAAGCAACAAAGCTATAAAGGAACAAACTTGAAGAAGATGTCATCTAATTCTAGCTGTCAGCCAAGGCTTCCCCATGCTGACATGTGCTGGGTTTGTAGACATTCCCATTTCATTAAAAGGTCTTCAGTTCCTTGATTTTGTTTTTTTCCTTTGGTTGTTCTACTTGCTAGTTGCTGCATTTCCTCATCCCTCTAATCAACTGTTACTTTGTTTTGTCAGCAATTGTTTTGTTGTTGTTGCTACGTCATGCATATATGTCAGCCGTGGGCACTTTATATAGCAGTGGCTCTTCTAATCACCTAGTTGCAAGGAACTAGGTGGAAATTATATACCAAATCATTGCACAGCTATGTATAATGAAGTTAAATGTTGCACCATTGAGCTTTTTGATTTGTCTGTCTTGAATGTCCATGATTTGATGAGATGCTACAGCTGGATTTCTTGAAAAAGAGATGTTCTGAGTATTTGCAGTTGGTACAAAGGTTTGGGGTTTTTTTTTTTCCTCTGCATGTGTATGTGTGTTGATAATTGCTATTAACCTTAATGGGAGTTACAAACATGCATACCTCGGATGGATACTTAGGCCTAGTCTACAGCAGCCTGAGGAACTACTGAGGCACTGTGCTTTAACGATTCCTTTCACTTGTAGCATGAATAGTTTCCTTTCGCGCTGTAGGCTGGACCCCAAGGATTCTGAGCATGGATCGTAAGCGCGAAATTTCTTCCATCAGTTGCCATTTCTACTTGTAACTGAGATGATTTGGTCTTGTTCATGTACAGATTTGAAAAATGCAAACTGTTCACTGAGAGCATCCCAGAAGGCTGTATTATGTTTTCCTGGCACACGCACTACCCTCGTTAGAGCGTTTGGTTGTTTTGTAGGCACTCCACTGCAGTGCTGAAGAGCAAGTTGGTCATTTCACAGCTTCCTGTTTCCAAGCTTTGTCTCCTGCAGCTACTGGAAATTCTCTGATTTTTTTTTTTTTTTCCTTTTCTTTTTTTTAAACACAATTTAAACATGAAAATCTATTCTTTGCACTTTTTATTAATATATATATATATAGATATTTAACAAGAAATATTCTCAGTCCTCTGTTTTGTTTGTTCTGGTTTCTCTCCTGGGTACTGGAGTCAGGGGCCAGTGTGCTTTCTGCTCCAAGGCTCTGTCTTTGGTTGTATTGCAGAGTTTGCTGAGGATCTCCTCGCCATTATGGGTTTGGTTTGAATCATTTGAATAAATTGATTGACATTTTTGCAGAAAAAAACATACAGTTTCTAGAAAACATTGTTTCTTACAGCAAAACTTTCAGCCTACCCAAATGCTCTCTGGTGCCTTTTGAGTAGTCAGAACCGCAGTCCCTTGGCATATTTTAGAGATCTTAATACAGCTTTGGTCTACGACAGTGATCCTCAGCCAGGGTGCCCTGGGATGCTGCGGGATTCTTTGAAGGGTGCCACGAGGTGTGAGGAGATAACAATGCAGGCTCAGGCTCATTCCCCTCCTGGACGCTCTGTAAGGAGGTAAGCCTTATAAGAAATAGTTCTTGAAATGGGGGGTTTCTCAGTTCACAAAAGTTACGGAGGGTGCCTCAAATCTAAAAAGGTTGAGAACCACTGATCCTGCTCACATACGTCCTCTTGTTCCTGGGGGATCCCTGCTCTTGAGACCGGCTTGGAAAGAATTTCGAATTCTTCGTGCTGAAAGCCTCTATCCCATTACCTTAGGCACAGTTATAAAGCTGAAAAGGAGCCTGTAGTCTTAGGAGGGGAATTTTCAGAAGTGTGTCAGCATTGCCTGAACTCTGCTCCCAATAAAGCTGGTGTTAAAATTGAGCTGGGCCAATGCCTGGGTAAAGTGACCCTGGTATTTTTCCTTTTAAATATCCGTTTTCCTCCCCACACCGCACTTCACTGTGTACACTGACTGACCTCTTCTGGATGCAACCAGGTCACCTGGTAATACTACCACTAGTATTTCTCATACAAATATTATGCGTTGCAACAATAGGCATTATGGAAATAACCATTTGCTCTGAAGAATCTCGCTCTGCTTTACAAATGAGTTTGTAATTACAAATTACAAACAAGAATCTCGCTTTGCTCTACAAATTAGTCTCTACTAATTAAATGCATCAGCCCGGGTATCATAGTCCTGACACAAGTTTGAATAGACTCTAGAAGCCATGGGTCAGCCCCTCTTGCACTAACCCCTGTTCTCTAATACTCCATGGGAAGAGCTAATAGTAAAGTCACTTCAGGCATGAGGATGCATCTGGTGCAGAGGATGGAGTGCTAGATAAGGATTCAACATCTGGATTCTCTTCCAGTGACCTGCTGGTCAGGGATTTCCACCCCCTCCCTGCTTTGGCCTCAGTTTCCCCAACTCTATAAACTGGAATGATGATGCCCCTGTTGTAGAGTACTTTGCAGCCTGTGGATAAAGTGTGTTATATAAAAACTAAGTATTATGTAACAACTAACAACTTCAGATCAAGCAAGGATAACTTGGGCTGAAAGTGAATACAAGTTGCAGGGAGTGTGATACAATTTAGCCACACAGCTCCCATAAAATGGCCAGGTCCCCTCTGTGTCCTGTAATTAAGGTGTGGCCTGTTCAGCTTTACCTACGCAACCACGTCTGAGCATCTCAAATCCACTGTGTAATCCAGATTATGCTCTGGCTACCATCCCCATACTCTGTCCCCCTGTGCAGGCTAGGTGAGGACCTTTTTCAGTCTGGTATCTAATAAGCAGCTCTTAAGGCTGCCATGCTGAGACACACAGTACTATCCCAGTTCAGCAACAAAACTGGCTACAACAATTCAAAGGGTGTGATCAGGGAAGGAGGCAAATTCCATATGGAACTGGAAAGAGCTAAGTGAGCGTGAAGCAATGAAAATAACCCTTCTGGAACACAAGTGCTCCCTGACAGCAAGATCTATTCTGCAGAATAGTGTCCCAGATAGAGCGCATCTGCACAAGGCATGTTAATGCATGTTAGCTTATTTTAATGTGCATTACGGGCGCATGTCTACATGTGCCTGCCCTTAATGCGCATTAAAAATGGTGAAATTTAAGTGCACCTAAATTTGATACCTGCAAACGCAGGTATCAAATTTGGGCGTGCTTCAATTTAACTGTTTTCAATGCACATTAAGGTTGTGCACATTTTAATGCACATTTAATGCACAAGCATCAAATTTAGGCACGATTAGTTAAGGCGCATTAACGCACATGTAGATGCAACCTGGCACACAACAGGGCAAAAGGGACTTGAAACTAACTTTGGTGCCAAGTCCCTGCATGTGTAGACAGCTGCTAAAAATCACTTAATACGCATTAGCTTAATGTGCATTACATTTCGTCATGCTTAAATACACATGTAGATGCACCCCCCAGAACTCTATTGCCTGGTGGCAGAAACGGTTTTGTACCTCAATGAGATCAGAGCAGCTTGTTTGAATCATCATGGTGCGTTAAGAAACCAACCCCAGGTTCTTCTGGAGAAATTAGTGTCCAGAGCAATGATATGCTGAAAACCACTTTTAGAGTTTGAGCCTGGTCAGTAAAGACCAGCTTAGCTCCCTGTATGGCAGAGCATTTGAAAATCTACCCTCTTATATTGTGTTCAATTAAATGGTCGTGCATTGTGTAAGCAGGAAAACGTATTTTTTGCTTTAAAAGGAAAGCAGAACAATATTACATAGGTTGTTGAGCTGAGTTTTTTAAATGGGGAAAATTTGTTTAAAGGGAGGAGAAACTAATTTTCACTCGACACTTGGAATTTGCATCTTCTCAAATGAAAGTTGTAAAAAACATGTTAGAAGCCATGGCAGAAGTGCCCGCATCCTCCATTATATAAGAATTGGAACGGGTTTGGATAACCTTGGATGGAGACAGGCTTGCAAGACCAGATTCCATGCTTTCGTGGATGTAATGCTTGACCTTAGTAACACAAACGAAATAACTGAAACTCATTACTGTAAAGACTAGCACTCATCATCAAGAGTGGAAACGAACTGATACAACTTCCGAATTCTTCACATGACTTTGGTGGGGGGCGGGGTCAGGGTCTTCATGCTCAATTCCTTTCATTCCAATTAGATTGTCGATCAATGCATATCATTACTGCTCATATATCTACGATTATCAATAGGGACCTACCTATCTCATGGTGAGACAAAGCAATTTTCATGGCTTACTTGCAGCCTGAAGAGCTGATTTCGTGGTCATTTCATGGCAGCCTTGCGCCTTGGTGCCGATTGGCAGAGAGGCCCTGCTCCTCGGTGCTGATTGGTAGAGAGCCCCTGGAGGGGGTGGTCACCATCTTGACTGCTGGCTGCCCTTTGTGCGGCCCCACCCATCAACGCTGATTGGTGGAGAGGTGCAAGGGGGTAGTCGCCATCTTAGCTGCTGCCCTTCATGCTGCTGTGCCAGTGAGTGCTTTACCCTCCTGGGTGGGCTGCGAGGGTGGGTTGCAGCGGCAATGAGGACCACTGGGGCGCCAGCATTTTATTTTTATTAAGTTGGGGTTTTTTGGTTGATTTCCTGACAAATCGCAGCCAATGCCGTTTTTCACGAAGGTCACTGTTTTTCGCAACCACGGTTTAAGTAGGTCCCTAATTATAAACCTGGAGGAAGATGGGACTAATGGACCCAAGTTGTTGGGGGAACTGAACAACCAGCAAGAGCGCGGAGTTCCTGGGGTCCGGCCTGCACCTATCCATCATGTTTTTGCATTTCCATTACCTGATCTGCCTGCTAGTGAAACGCATGTTCAGCTTTCCATTAAAGGGATTCTCCTGAAAAGAGACAGGCATACTCTCTTCTTATTCCAGGGCCCCATCTGACAAAGTAAGGTCCCTTTCTCCCAATTTGGGGATAAAGACCTTCCCTTCAAAAGTGGGGCAAGATAGGAGGGAAAAATTCCTTTTACAGTCCACTGTTTTCCCCCCTCCCTTCTTTTGGGAACAGTCATTTCAAAGCTGAAAACTTGACATAAACTTTTGTTGCTGAAATTCAATCAGAGAAAAGCTCATTCCTTTCCCAAGCCTGAATGAAAAGTCTTTTGATGTTTTCATTAAAATCCCTTACTGTATTTCCAATAAGATGTATGTACAGTGTCTGCACCATTTTGTTTCTTATTGAAATCTTAGGTCAGATCTTCCAGCTCTTTCTCCCTGCTGGGGAGCTGATGATCCTTCCACCTTTCAGTCGGCATTTAAGTATCTCTTTCTCCCAGTGCCGGATCAAAACCTATTGAAATTAGAAGGAATCTCCTCGGAGACTTTAGGCTGTGAACGAGGAGGGTTTGGCTCAGTGGCTCATTTCAAGGCCCAAGTCCTGTGAATGTTTCCTTGTGCACTTCACTGTACACCTATAAGTAGTCGATGGAGGTCAAGGGATCTAGGCACGTGCTTGAAGTGAATAATGTATGGAAGTGTGTCTAAGCCCGAAACCCTCTCTCGCTCTCCATGCTTTGCTTCTGTAACCCCGGTCACCTTGTTTGCCTTTTATTGACCCCCAGCCCTGCAAAGGCTGACAGCTGTGCTTCACCTTCATGCACACTAATGCTTGTACTTAAGGATCAGGGCCTTAAGTACAGGCGTGTAGGTGAATCACTTATGTAGCTGCAATCCCTAGTGCAATGAGTTTTTGAACTGCTTGGCTTCTAGGCACCGCTGCAATAGAAGTATCAACTAAGAACAGTCATAATTGCCAGCATCTGAATCGCCCGTAAATTTAATTGTAAAAGCAGGTCGATTCCAGCCTTTGTAGAGAGGGTGGGAGGAACTGGTGGAGAAATAAAATCCTCTGGAGAAGACTGTGAACAAACTTGTTTTCTTAAAATAGTGTATTTATTTATTTATTTATTCATTGTCCTCCTTGCAAAAGCGGAATGAAGTTGATGTACAAAAACTAAAATGAGACTTTGATGGAAAATTAACTTCATTGAAATTTCAAGGGCACTGACTTTGTTTGGTGCTTTAAGCCGTATGCTGTTTAATGCTAATTCTGTAACACTATATAGAAGCTTTTTTTTACTAACACAAAAGAGGAAGGGGCACATTTCTTTTGTAGGGTTTTTTTTTTTCTTCAGTGAAAAGTGATTCTGATCAGACCAGCCACAAACCCAGCTCCAAGTAGCTGACATTTCCATCTGAATCTACCTGAAGGGTTAGTTTTTCAGGAAGAAAGACTTCGCCACTTTTACAGTCCAGGATCTGATCTTTAGATTAACTCACCATTAATCAATAGAGGGAAAAGTTTTGATTGCAACTCAACACTCTTCTGGCCCTAAAGCAACATAGAGAAAAACTGAATTTTCAATTGAAACAGCAACGGGATTTAGACATCAGCAATAATTGGCAAAGAAGCATTGAAATGCCTTCTTCATTGACATAATTTTTCCCTCCGGTTTACCAAAGTTTGGTTTAAAATATCAGACTTAATTTCTTCCCCTCTCTTCAAACCAGGTTGGTAATTTTTATGTATATTTTTATTAAAAACTGCATTTATTGAATGTAGTAAGTTAATTATGGTTTCTATTATTTTTCTGGTGTGTTTCCCAAAAGGTACACTCTGTAGGTTTTAATGCTGTATTGCCATATTTTCTGCTACTCATTGCATGCGTGCTCTTAGTTAATGAATCCACAGTGACTAAGATTTATGATCTTTATAAAATTGTCTCATGATTCTGTCTCCTTTTCTACATTAAGGAATATAGTTGAACCTTTTCATAGTGAAATTACTTTTTGTCTCCCCAGAACAACTTAGCTGTAAGCAGATTTCTTTTCAGTATAATTTCAAATGACACACCGAGAAGAGCAGAAACAGTGTGGAACTTCCATTTGATTTCACTATAAATGGTGCTTCTCTGTTTCTGTAATTGCTATAATTGGATTCAAGTGTAAATTATATGTAGATGTATAGAGAGACACAACACGTCTAGTTATGCTCGTAAGTTATGTATAGTACATCTGTATATGCTTGGAGAGAGATCTGTTTGTCTCCACTACTATGTTAGATAAATGATCTACATAAAGATGTAGTACATGTACATATTAAAGTCCATAATGTTGGGATAGTGATCGCTTAGCTATATAATGCGTGTCCGTATCTGTAATCTAGAAGTATAAATTGACATCAAATCTAGATAGATAGATAAAATCTATATATAACTTACCCTTGAATCTGATTATATATTTTACTGGGTGTAGCTTTATATATATATATATAAATGATAGGTAATGAAACCAAAGCAGCTACTTTAGAGATTTCCTATTTGATTAATAATTTATAACAAATTATATTAGGCATGAAAAGAATTAAAGTCCTGCCTGAGAATTTCTCTTTAATTTGTCCGGATTCATTTCTCTCCCTTCGTCCATAATTGATTTCAGTATCATGAAGAAGCTGCCCAGCTGTGTAAATGTTTGTGCTTCCTTCCCACCCGTCAAAAATGTGAAGTGCTCCTTGTATTTCTACCCGGCACAAAGGATTAGTTAAAGCAACATTTGAAGTCTTGTAACTTTGAAAGTACACCGTAATTTATAATTAGCTCTCCTTTTAGTATGATGAAAAGCTATTCATCTTGAAGCCAGGCAGAAGTATCCTCAGATTAAGCAGATCAGGAAGGAATTGTTTGGGGTTATTAGAAGAACTGAATACAGACCGGAGCCAGGTGACATCAGAAAGTTCCAATATATGTGTTAAATTAGAGCCTCCTCTGCTTTCCAAAATCAGGTTGAACCCTTACCTCGACAATCACTGGGGGGAGTTGTCTTTTTTCACTAGACTGGTCTTATGATGCCACCTGATTAGCACCACGCTGTTGATCTTCATGGGTGAAGACCTACATTTCCTGAATTTCTGCAGTGTGGAGGGATCACAGTTGCAGGGAACTATTACAATAGGCATTAGCTTGGGATTTGCTATAGCAAGCTTGGTTTTCTATTGACAGCTGTTTTTCTCCCCCCCTCCTTTAGGATGAGTTTTCCATTATTGCTTAGAACCTGGGTTGTCCTTATGATCATCATTTCACGACACCAAGGTTAGTATTCCTGCCTTTCAACCCTTGAGTACAGATATTTTACATTTAGCATGGGAAGGTATTTTCCTCACAAGTTTTCTCTACATTGACCATATAGATTTTTAGGGTCGGAAGGGACCTCAGTAGATCACCGAGTCCATGAACCTTGCAAAAGTCTACTCAGATGTTTCGTTAGGAGCAACTGAAATAGCACATTTTAGTTTTTAATCATAATGATGGTGTGCCTTTCCTGGTGAATGTATATGCAGCAGCTTCATACAGGTGACCTGATACACAGGCTGTGATAGATCCTGAAGCTGTAGAGATTGTCAAGACACCTCTGGACCGCACGAACCAAGGAGAAGGCGCTCTTTCAAATGTGAAGTCAAGATAGCCAGCATGCTAAGAGAAAATAAGAGGTTCTGGGCTCTACATGCAATATGCTTCCATGGAAAAAAGTGTTGGGCTGATACCACCGCTGCTTTAGAAATTGTTCCTGCTGTTTGGATAGTATAACGGCCAGACAAACCTATGTGGCATAGCAAACAAGTAGATAGAAAGAGCCTGCAAGAATGTTAGATATCAGCAGGCTGTGTTTTCATGAGGGTTTTCAGAAACCTGGCTGATTTGTGGAGTCATCGAGAGTCCAGCTGTAGCTATATCCCCGTGTTTATTCCTTGAGCTATAATATTTATGAAGGGCGAACAAAATTCCACCCATGGGTTTAGTGTTGCTTGTGTGTTTGTATTGAAATCACAGGAAACTCTTGGTAGATTTAGTTATTAAATTTAAGCTTGACTTCAAGAGGGGCTGGGACAGTCAACAGTGGGTTGAAAACGGGTAATTTTTTTTTATTCCATGTCTCAACCTCCTCTTGTTGTCTGGTTGATCAAGGTATTTTGGTCACACGGCCTGGTCTGGTGTTTAGGACATGGGTCTGAGAGTCAGGACACCTGGGTTCTGCGCCGTGCTCGGCCACTCTTTCATCGCGTGACGGGCACAACTCACCTGCACGCCGTGCCTGTCCATTTTCCCCTCCCACCCTCTCCCCAAGTCCCAACCCCCTTCCAGTAAAACAAGGCCAAACCTTTCCTGTGGCATGGGGCAATGGGATGAAACTCATTTGTTGGCAAAGCCCATTGAGCTAATTGGATGGGAAACGCTGCCCATGTAAAGCTACATCCCAGTACTAGTTCTTAAAAGGTTGTGCTGAGTTTCGCTCTTTTAAAATAATCTATATTTCATATCTGTGATCTCAGATGTAATAGCCTGCTGGTTACATAAAAAATCCATGAAATGACTTATTTCATTACCTGGCAACAGGATCGTTGCTACAGCCCTTGTCTGCAAGGGTAGTCTTATCATCATGACTCTGTCGTGCACCGCTTAAAACTGTCCAGCATGGAAAATGCTCCACAGATGCATATACAATTTAAAAAAGCTCATTTTCTGAATTTCAGTCCCGATCGTTTTCCCCCTCAAGGAAAGCTTTATCAGCTGAACTTTTTTAGAAGGGTCAGCTTCCCATTGTCCTTATTAAAGCAGAATCTAGCAAAAAGGCATCTTAAATGTTACCATGATAGAACAACTTCCACCCCGGGGAATAGGAAGAAAACCTTTTGCATCTCTAAAACCAAGGCAAAGAGCAAACACCCTTCAGCTAGGGGCCTCTGAAATGTCAGGTTAGGACCTAGGAGATAAAAGAATGTCCTGAATCAAGTTAAACAGAGACCGAATTGTTTAGAGTCCAGTTGCTAAGGTCAGCATTGATTGAAAATAATGAGGACAGCGCATTTCTTTTCCACCACAGAAAAAGCCTGTTCCTTCTTTGAGGAAGAGGTGCATTAGTAGGCAACCTGTATAAATGGAGAATTAGATTGTGGCGCATGTCTGGTAGTGACTGGAATGGTTATGGGTATATAATAACTGTTTCTATCTCTGGCAATTAGAGATGGCTAGAAAATGGGAGTTTTTGTTGATAGGAAATTTCAACTATTTATCAAAATCACCCCCCCGCCCCCCCCCAATCTTTGACCAAAAATTGAACTTCTTCTATCAACAGTAATTGGGGAAAGGCTGATGCTTTCTGCTAAAAGTTTCTTTTATTAGAAACTCCAACTCCAACTGGTGTGTTGGAGCAGACTTTCAGGAAGTAGCATGTTGGGCTTTAACAATACGTGGGGCTGGCCTTAGGTGCTGTGCTCCATGGGAAAGGCAGAGAGTGCCAGGAACAGGTGCACTCGTCCATCAAATAAATGTATTTGTCCTCACCCTCTCCCTGTGAGGTGAAGCAGTTCACTGGCTCCATTTTACAGATGGCGAACTGGGGCAGAGGGGAACAAAATGAGGTCACGGGCTAAGATCAAGTGTAGTTCTTCTCGGTCTCTTGTGGGATAAGATCAAATGTTTCCCTGACTGAGATGGGTTTGAATGGCATTGTGTAGTGGAGGGTACACCCCTGTTCAGCGCGCTGCGGACAGGACACCCTATGAGAGTCGAGTCTTGTGATGAGCTTCCCAGTGGCCGGCTTCCAGTGGGAGGATCTCAGCTGCACGCTGACTTTATGGAAAAGGTGGCCTTCTCCTTGACTTGCTCTTGTGGCCATTGGCTAAGGGCAAATGAGACTCGGGGGCATCTGAAACCCAAGCCCAGGCTTGGGCTTATACATAGGATGCCCACCAATGGATTTGGGAGTATCTGAAGCCCCGGGCTGAAAAGGCTGGGGTGGAGGATACTTGCTGTTGTTGCACCACATATGGCGTTTGAACCATTAAGGGTTGCTCAATCGAGAGGATTCAGAACTGATTTGGATAATTTGACCTGGAATACGAATTTTTTTCCAAAAAGCAAAACAAAAGAGGGGAGCAGAAAAGTGAACGGTGGTCCTTTGCCTCTCAGACTAGTCCCAAGCATCCTCCCTCATTGTTCTCCTCTCTGAGTCAGGGCTGAGCTCTAATGCCTCAGCTATGGCATTCGAAGGCATTGCGCTGGGGGCCATGTCAGCTCTTGGGCAGGCAGTAAATAGAGATGCATGAAGGGTGCATTATACAATGGGACATTGCAGTTTGGGCAGCTGCCTTCTACCAACACAAATTTCCTCCTATATAGGGCTTCAGTGGCATAGACCAGTGTTCACTGCCTCTCCCAAACTTTTGCATCAGGTTGGGGTCTGTTTCTCACCAGCCACTGTCCTCTCTCTGAAAGGCAGCTGCATTTTAGTGGCATGGAGAAATAATTCTTCCATATAAAGAATATTAAAAAAAAAAAACCAACTGGGAGGGAGATGCTATGGGCCTGATTCTGCACCCATAGAAGTCAAAGGGAAATATTTATATCATTGTAATAACTGTGCTGCCTTCTTCCAGCTCAGGCCATGGAGGTCCTGTATCCGTTCTGGCAGAACGAAACTAAAACCCCCAAAGTTGATGATGGAAGCTCCCCAGAGATTAAGCTGTCCATCCCGTTCATCTTCTTCGGCGTTCCCTACAAGACCGTTTATGTAAGTGGGGCAGCACCTCTGGCTGATCTCTCCTTCCTTTCCTCATCATTAGTGGCTGCGTTTAAACACACACTCTCTGTGTTCAAGAAACGGAAGATTTATTAGTGCCTACCTGACAAGTTCTTAGATTTCATGAACTGATAGGTTTTATGATTAAGAAAGTCAAAGATATATTTAATGGGCTAACGTTCATGGGGAAGGAATATAAAAGGCAATAAATTGCCTTTGCAGGTGATTAAGCGCCATAGCAGTGCTGAGGCCCTGACACCGCAAACATTATTTCTGTTACATGACAAGAAACAAGAACAGGTAGCGAGCCACAGGATAAAAAGGTCACATCCTTCCTGCTTCCTGGGTGCCTGAGACAGTTCTGGGCTGTCGCTGCTGCTTGGGGGGTTTCGTTGCCATTGTCTTTTGAAGTTTGGCATAGGAAAACCATCCTTTTCAGGCTGAGAAAAGAAATTATTAACCTTGTTACATAAAATAGCGTGTTGGAGATGGAACCAAATCAGGAAGGTTTGATCCCAGATTCTAAGATTTTCTATCCAGGTTGTGTAATACATCCTGTTTGGGCCATGGGCAAGATTTTAACCTGTGACCTCCGTGGACTGGCTGCTAGAAGGGAATTAAAGACCTGTTCCCAGTGCGCATTATATATGTATGGAGAGAAAATAAGGAAATACAACATGAGGACCTTTGATTACTAATCTCTGCTTTTGCTCTGAGTGCCCTCTCCATATTTCTGCTTGTACCAGAGCAGCTTGCCCCAGTGTTTGTGCCTGACATAAAGGCAGTAGAGGGTTTTGGATCCATCTGGGTCAAGAGCCTGGCTGGCACTGTCCTCTCTATGGCACTGGCCATTTGGCTGATCTGAGTCTAATATGCAAGGACTGGCTGTGTTGGCTCTTGGGAACCACTTGCCAAAGACTTGGGCAGATCCAGAGACCTATGGGCCAGTTATGCGAGGTACCAAACTGCTATGGTAAGTGGCTCTCCTACACAGTAAATTTGTGATATCCTGGCAAACTCCGTGGTTGCTTGAATAACGTTCCTAGTGGGAGCGATGTGAGTTTGCACCATCCTGGTATCATCATCTTAGTCTTCCTAACCCTCAGCATCATTTTTCTCACAGCAGAGGCCTCACATACTAAGATGATGATGGCCACATCGATACTTAGGGACTCCACTTCCACCAAAGACTTCTCCATCAACCCAACTATAATTGCAAACTGACAGACCCGTGCTTGCTGCAGAGAATATAGTTTGCTTGACTAAAAACGCTTCTCTTTTTTTGTAGGTCAACAACAATGGAGTTATTTCCTTCAACGTGCTGGTCAGCCAGTTCACCCCAGAGGCCTTCCCCCTTGCAGATGGCCGGGCTTTTCTTGCCCCTTTTTGGGCAGATGTCCACAATGGGATCCGAGGAGAAATATACTACAGGGAGAGCGCTGACCCTGACCTGCTGAAAAGGGTCTCCAGAGACATCAGGAAATACTTCAAAAACATGCCCTCTTTCTCTGCCACCAGCATCTTCATGGCCACCTGGGAAGAGGTCACTTTCTACGGAGGCAGCAGCACGACCCCTGTAAGAGCTTTGTTTCGGTCCTGATCCTAGATGTGATTTTGATGTACTTATTTTTCTTGTGGCAGAAATTAGCTAAATTATCGTGAGCTGAGAAGTCTGTTCCTGGCTCTGTCACTGTTTGATGCTGGGCGGGTCATTTATTCTCAGTACTCTATCTGTAAAATGGGGCTATTCCTCCTTCCTTTCTCCCATGTTTTGTCTATCTATCCAAACTGCACTGGAAATCCTTCGGGGTAAGAATGGCCTCTGAATACAGGTCGGTATGCTGCCCAGTCCCATGGGGCCGTGACATGGGATGGAGCCTGTAGGTGCTGCCATGCTAGAAATCGTTATTAATAGATGAGAGGTTCGATGTGGGCGTGGATGAGAACTGAATTCTTCCCTTGCTCAGGTTACTTCATCTCTCTGGTCTTCAGCTTCTCCATTAGAAAACGGAGCCAGCACTTCTCGACTTCATAAGTGAGTCAGAGCTATGATTTTGGTACCATTTGTGAAGTGTGATGTGCTTCCCAGGTGAGACCAGTCTATAGCAGGACTTGTTACTTACTTTTTCTTTAAATATGCGGAGGAGAAATGTATCCCCTTTGAGGTAATGTGAATCTCTCTGAGGTGCCGAACTTCTAGTTTCCAGTCATTTACATTTTTTAAATTGATTTAGTATAAGGAAAAGTGGATTTCCCCCCCATTGTAGAGCAGTCTAGGCACTTTTATAAAGGAAAGAATTGCCGCCAACAGCCAAACAAAGCAAAGATGAGCACTCTGCAGCATGGGGCATTGGTGTGTGTGTGTAAATGTCATTTATAGAAGCCTCACTGTGCTAGGCATTGTCTAAAAAAGAATCAGAGGTCTACCTGAGCTTAGAAGCCCACTTTTGTAGCCAGCAGCACACGGGGAGGTGACATGGTTAGCTTCCTACCTATCTCAGCGCTGAAGAGGCATTTAATTAAAGATAATAAATCCTGTTCCAAAGACCTTGCCTAATTTGGGACCCATATCCATGGATCTCTGTACTGACCACAACTGGGGCTCTCTGGAGACCCTAGGGTCTTTGCACAGTGTCAGGATTCAGTGTTGGAAAGTTTTTGGAAGAAGGCTGATTTCTTGCTAAAGAGCTGCACAGCACCCAGTACCATGGAGGGCAAGGTGAGTACTAAGTGCAAGAAGCTGGTGGGGGAAACAAGACGGGTAGAGAAGGCTAAACCGGCTGAAAACTTGATCTTTTCCCTTAAATGTCTTCTCTCACTCTTTGCTCCATCTTCTGCCTTGTATTTTTCCTTTCACTAGTGACATCTCCTCCCCCACCTGAAGTTTGCACTGAGCTAAACAGAAGCCCAATAACTTTGCTGTTCAACTCCATCTTCCAAGGCCCCAGTGATTTTGACATTAGGCCATGCAAGATCTCTTCTTGCTAATGCTCACCTGCTCCTAAAATGGGGGGTCGTGACTTAAGGAAACTCTAGGAAGCCACTATAAATTAATCTTTAGCTAAAATCCATTCAAGAAGGAAAGAAAGAAAGGGAGAAACTTGCTGCTGATGAGAAAATGGGGAATTTATTTAGCTGTGTGTTTGGCACAGGTGGCCTTCTCATTTTTATGGCTCTTTATGGGGGCCAGGGTTGAAATTATTTCCAGGCAATGCTAATCTGAGCAGGTAAGGAGAATATTTCAGGAATAAGAGCTGAACAGCTGCTCTGAAATCCCAGATGGATATTTAAATAAAACGGGGAAATCAAAGAGATTTATCGACAGCATTCTTGCAATGACAATTGACCCCTCAAGCAGGAAAAAGATGGATTGCAGTAGGCTATAAAGTCCTACTGATCACTTGGCTGGACTGTGCCTTCTCTGGGCTCGTCCTGGTCACCTCCTAGCTGCGTCTAGGGTCCCCAGTGAGAATCAAGGCCTATCTGCTTGCCCCTGCTCTGCACACACTCATGCCCAGCAATTAGACAGAACGGGGAGCTTAGAGGAGTCCAAAGCGCATGCCCTGGGCTCTCCTGTGGCTTTGGGGTATGTAGTTAGGACCCCTCTAGGTCACCTGCTTTACCTAGCAGCCAGGCATGGGCACGTATGGAGTTGGTGGAACTTGATTTTCAGGGGCACTCTCCACCTCAGCAGCGTGATGGTATAGGCATGCCTTCAAATTCATAAGCACATAAGTCTGATTTCTTCTGGAGCTGGCTGTGATGAACAGCCCTCTCCCTTGCCATGTGTTAGGGTTCCCTTGATGTTTAATGCGGTTTTTCCGGTCTTGTCAGAGCATCGTTCAAAAACATTTTGAGGCAACAGCAATATTGAGATTCCCATGTTGCTTGAAAAATGACATGTGCAACACAATGCAGTTGATGTTGGCGCACAGCACCCTTTCCGTTCAGCACTGGAGAATGCTTTGATATCACATGCAGAACAGACTGATGCGGCTTGAAGGTAAAATTCATCCCAGTGTTGAAAACCTGCAGGAAACTTATAGACTCACAGAAAATGAGGGTTGCAAGGGACCTTAGGAGGTCACATCTAGTCCAATCCCCTGCTCAGCGCAGGACTATCCCCACCTAAATCATTCCAGCCGGGGCTTTGTTGAGTTGGGCCTTAAAAACCTCCAAGGATGGAGATTGCACCACCTCTCTAGGCACTGTTTTCCACTGCTTCACCACCCTCCTAGTGGGAAACTTCTTAGCATCTGCTTCGAATAGTGGCACTGAAAATAGCATCAGGTATCCTGTACTTGTGGTCTCTTGGGAAGCTTGCAACGTGTTTTTTCTGATAGCTGCTGCTCCCAACTCACCTACAGCTGTGTGGGTCCAAGCGGCAACTTGGTCTTGGATGTCATCTCAAAAACCCAGGTGCTGATCACTAAACTGGACCCTTAGTGCCTCATGCGCACCCCCTGCCAACATCTGGGTTTGACAAGGTTGCTATTATGAATATCACAGTGGTTCTTAAAGGCTTTGTGCAAGGTCAGGCCCCACTGTGCTTGGTGGCGTATATAGTAGTAGAGGACAGTCTGTGCCCCAAAAGCAGAGAGTCTAAATAGGACAGAGCAGAAGAGCAAATAGGAGGGATTATTAGCATTTTGCAGATGGGAAATGGGGAGTTTGGCTGTGCTTTACTCAAGGTCACACAGGATGTTTGCAGCAGAGCTGGGAATTAGGCTCAGATTTCTTCAATTCCCGATGAGCACCTTTGCCTTATGATCTGTTTTCCTCATCTGGTTATAAGGTATTCACTGCAGAGGACCCTGTCCATACGCTCTCAGGTGGGCTGGCTCTGCAGGCCTTACTGGAGCAACAAGCAGTCAAGCCTTATGTTCAGGCCCTGCTCCTGCAGCACCCCGTTGGCTTGGGGGGGTCCATGCAGGTAGTCCCTCCACCCTATCAAGATCAGGGCGGTCCTTTTGTCTCTCACGTCAACGGATCTGGCACTGAATGGTCACAAGGAGCTGACCACTTAAAAGGTCTGATCCAGCATCCTCGGATGTCGAGGGGAATCTTTACATTGGTATCAAAAGGTTTTGGATCAAACCCGAAGCTTTTGGCAGGGTCTGCTGCATTGGGCCGAGCTTCCTTCGTGCCGAGCTGGCTGCACTTACTGCACTCGTGTCCCCGAAGGGGAGACATTTTCTCCGTCATGTTCTGCATTTCTAAAGGCATCGCAGCTCTAAGTTTTATGCCTTTTATGCTCCCTGCCTTGCAACACTGGAAATTGAATTGGCAAAGACCAGGAAACAAACTGCCCAGGTGAAAAGAAAGTAAGAAAAAACCCTGACTTGGTAAAGAAAATAAAAGGGTGCATCTAAAAATGACAGTGTAAATTGGAGCACTGTTTTTTCCTCACTTTGAGGGCTTTCAGGTGTACTGGGCCCATTTTACCTCCAGCCTCACCTCCCTAAATACCACAGCTCTCCCTTCTCCATCCCACTAGACATCAGCCACTTGCCTTGATCTTCAAGGAATTTGACAGCCCAACCCACCCTTTCTCTCTCATCTCCCGTTCAGAGGTGAACTATTGACTGCTGCCTTCAAGTGGTCAGTAATGAGAGCCTCCATCCCTGCTTGTTACATTTTCCAGCAAGCACCTTCATGCTCCCTCCCCGGCTGCTCCTCTTGGCTTTGGATGTGTTTGCTGCAAACATCAGTAAAGCTGCATCTTATTCTCTTTTCAGTCCCTCCTTAAAACTCTGCTTTTGACACCATGCCTACAAAAACACTTGCCAGCAGTTAGGCCAGTCCTGTGCTGAGACCTCTGCCTCTTCTATTGATCAACATTATCTTGCTGTTTCCTTGCGCTCCTTCGTCTTTGTCTGCATCCACTTGTCTCTTGTTTTAAACTTAATTGTAAACTCTTTGAGGCACCGTCTGTCCTTTGATTTTTGTTTGTCCAGTGCTTCTCCAGCCCATAACGAGCACTATCAAAACACATAAAATAACGATTAACACTATTCATAATCCAGGAATGAATTTGGGCTGCTGGCCTTTTTTCTTACTAATGCTCATAATAATGAAATTGCTTTAAAAGGGCATGACTTGCCCATAATAAAAATTAACACACGGCAAAAACTGCATGGGCTTTGCTCAATTTACAACCAGTGTGTGATATCCTTTACCACCTTTACATCCTTTAGCCACCTGCCATAGCAGCTTTGATTTAAGTGGACTATGCTGATTTCTACCAGCTGAGGATCTGCCTCTGTGTTACTCTATATTTTTCGGAGGCATCTGGGCTTCTTCGTGTTGCCTGGTAATACGTTTGCACTTCTCTAGCTTCTTTTCACGCAGCAGCAGCAGCGGTGTCAAATCACTTGCCTGGCTTTGATTAATTAAACTCTCACTATCCCTGTAAAATAAGGCAGGGTGGATACACATGTTCTTCTTCATCTTTCACAGCAAGACGGTCACCTCTATTTTAAAAGGCGGTGAGTGTCTAGCAGCACACACTAAACATCTTGGTTAGGGACCGGAAGTGAAAGATACAGTATCCAAATAGAGAAATGTTAGGAGAATTTAGATAGCTAAGACCGAATTACACGAGTTGGAATTTGGCCAGTATACTCGTGTAGTCACATCCTTCATCTGGATGTGCTTGAATACAGGTATTAGCTCATGTGGAGCCAGTTATAGATGAGGCCATTAGTTTTATGGTCAAGAACTCACTTTTATGTCTCCTTTGCAAGATGGAAAAGTGCCTCCTCTTCGGCTGGGCACCGGCTCGTTGCTCAGTGAATTTATCTGAATTGATTACAGTTTAAAAAAAAATGGAGTGTCATTTAAAGCAACAATGTGGATGTTGTCAGTAAACTTGAGCTGTTTGATCAGGGATCCCTGCAGCTTGAGAAAGCAAGATTTCCTCGGGTACAATACATTGTTGACTTTTATATAAGCCATTGTTAATATTATTATAGCAGACAAATGTGGAAAGTAACCCTGTAAGATAACGCTGTGATGAATAAAGCAAAGATAGAGTAGGACTAAGATAACGGGTTGTAGCAATCCAAGCCCAGCTGACTGCTTTATTCAGTGCTTATTCTCATGCTGCCATCTATCGGTGGCAAAGTAGATCACAAATGTAATCTGTCCTTCCAGGTGTCCAAGATGGCATTACGCTGTGGATATAGTGGGTAGGGGTTGAGTCAGCCGTTGAGAGTTCCTTACAATATGCTTACCTGTTGCTGCCTAAATCAGTAGTCTCTCTCTCCTGTTACATTTTGCATGGCCGTGTTGAGAAGTTAAAGTGGAGGGGGACATATAAAGCAGGCTAATGGGGCAGTCTGACTTTGCAGATATGTTCTGCCCATGTTTTGACCAGGTAAACACCTTTCAAGTTCTCCTGATCTCAGATGGAGCATCCACGTTTGTCGTGTTTAACTACGGGGAAATCAACTGGACCACCGGAACGGCAAGTGGGGGAGATCCCCTTACAGGACTTGGTGGAGTCATGGCTCAGGTAAGGACTTCGTTGCATCTTCAGGAGCGCTGCTCTTGTTCAGGCAGGGAAATACCATAGACTCTAGTGGAGATAGAGCTCATATGGACCTGTGATGGCTTTTATGCTCCTCTTACGGCTTAGAGCAAGTCCCCTAGGCTCCTGCTTCTAGACTCAAGGGTTCAGTTTCAGAACCTGCTGATGAACCAAGCGGGATCCATAGACCCGTTAGTCACATCCTTCATCTGGCTGCTCTTGTGGCTCTGGTCTTCATTCTCCTGTTCAGAATGAATAATAGGAAAGCAATGAAATGAGGAACAGGAGGAAGCAATGTGACTTACCCTTATGGGAAAAGTTAAACACTTGGCACCCTAAAGCATGCATGACATTGCCAGCTGATTGAAGAATGCCAGGTTTTTGCGGGAAGTGCATGTACGCATATGCTTTTGGGGAAATTGTTCACATTTGTACGGAAACCCCCCAAATAAGTCATTTTAAACATCTAAAAATCCTGGAAACAGATTTTTTTGTTTTTGAAAAGCAAAAGCATTTTGAATTTGGGCGGGGGCGTGGTTGTCAAAACAACAAACAAAATGTTTTCTTCAGACTTAAAAGACGCTTGTTGTTCCAAAGAAAAACCATTTTGGCTAATAAATTCCAACCTGCTCCAATTACATGTTTTCTTAATGTGACTCCTCTCTGCAGACTGCTGCTCTAGCTGCCATGGGAATCTGACATGATCATGATTGAGAGGGAAGCTAAACCTGAGATAATCAATTGCAAGAAAAACAAAAAGAGACAAATTCAGGATTATAAATAGCAGTGATGCTAAAAAATCTGAAATAGGCCATGCAGGGAGGATCTATACTTGTGCTTTTATGTGAATTCTGCTCTTTCTTTGGTTTAGGCAGGATTTAATGGTGGAAACATGACCAATTATTTCAGTATTCCTGGTTCAAGGACCCCAGATATAGTCAACATTGAAGACACAACCAATGTAAATGTCCCTGGACGCTGGGTGTTCAAAGTAGATGGCCGAGAAATTGACCCAGCCAATGGCTGCAGCCTGCGAGGTAAATAGCTCTTTCAGTTCTTTAAGGTTTGCCATGTGGGGTAACGGAAAATAATCTCATTTGAGAGTTAATGGTAGGATGTACTGCCATTGCTTCCTGCTGTATGGTCCATGTTCTTGGGGATGATAGTACAGGTGAACTGTAAACACTCAGATCAGTGACAGCCTTTTGAAATGAAGAATGAGCATGATCGTAGGACCAGGAATCAAATGCCTTGGCCTAAGGACAGAAATTACTTATAAACCAGTATACGTGATTGGAAACCTTTTCAAATCTATAGCACAACAGAAGTTTAGTGCACATAAACCACTTTCAAAACTGGTTTAAGATAAACCTGGATGGATGCAGTATCAGATTTAACTGATTTAGGTTAAATTGGTTTATTGAACTTCTGGTCCCAGGTCCCCTCCAGATTCAAGTTAACTCACAGTTCTCCAGCATCCCAGGATGCTTCACAAGGTGGGCAGGCTAGCCTTGGCCTAAGCTGTCTGCTCCAGCCCAGCAGGAAGGTGTGCTCTAGTGCCCCCCAGCTTCTGGCCTGGGCCACTGCAGGCATGTGGCTGCAATTCCTGAATCAAAAGTGAATGCCTGCTCACTTGCTTATCAGTTCAATCTACGCAGTTTAGATTAACTGTGAAGATTGAATCTATTCAGTCTCCGGCTTTTTGGCTGCCTGTACTTAGCCTTGGAGTCTAGTCCTGTCTGTGCCATTGACTGTCTGCTTGGTCCTGGGCTGTTTGGTCCCACCTGATGGCAGCCACACACCAGGAGTGAAATCGAAACACGGTTGAGATCTGTGGGAGTTTTGCCATGGAGCTCAGAGGGGCCAGGATACTGATCCCTTAGTGGTGTGAGTTACCTAAACCACTGTAAGCCTCTAATTTGCACAGTAGGCCAGTTTCAAGGAGGTGAAAGCAGCAGGTTTCCCTATCTATGCCAAAGATTTGCATTGCTGCAGATATACCAGTGATCGAGCCAACAATGAGTATGAATGGGGCAACTCCCCCGTGTAGATAAGGCCGAACTATGGAGTTTTTTAGAAGTGGAAAAGAGACCCAAAGAGAAGGGAGAGTCTGTTCTTTTCTCTTGCATACACTTGTGCAACTCATTAATGTCATTGGGAAACCTTAGTCTGTGCTGGCCTTGTTCCCATCCTTCTGTGATTTTTAGTAACTAGCTGTTACTAAAAGCCTCCGTTCCCACCACCCCAACATTACAAACCTGTGAAACTGTGGGTTTAAGTGATCAGACACAGCTGAGATCTGCTTACCTTTATTCTAGTCTCTTATTTGTGATGCTAACAACAGCAGAGAAAAAGACATGTCTGGCTGTTCTGATGGAATTGCCATCACTGTAAAAAGACAATATTCCCATTTCATTTCCCTTGTGTCTGAATTATGGATTGCAGCATTTATGCATAGGATAAATTCAGTGCCCTGCACAAACTGCGATGATCATCCATGTGTCACTGACAGTGCGTAGGTATAAAGGGATTGAAACTCTCGCTTGTGATACCAGAGAGACACATCTGCATAGAGATTATTGCATTATCACTTTACAAATAAAACAGTCTAGGGCATCTCCTTTGCTCCTGAATTCTTTTTAACAAGAGAAAATTTACACTCGCTGCTGGAAACCTGAAATGTGAAGGATTGAAGATGTACATGGGGCTGAAAGCTGCAGCTTGTTTTATATTCAGTGCTGGACTAGAGTTGAAAAAGCCTGGCTGAACCAAAAGGCCTCTATACCCCTGGAATAGTTCGTGGTCCATTATTGAGCAAAGTTGCACCATTGGCTCCAGGAACATAGGCTGAGATTTTCAAAGGGATGGTTCCCCTTCAGACTGATGAGAATAGTACATCTCTATTCCTTAGACGGATTTGGAAATCCCGGCCAACAACTTGCTGCCATTTGTAAAATGAGTCACCCAGATTTTTCAAGTTGTAGAAGCTAACCCTTAGAGGGTTTGTGTTGCCCAGTTGTATTTGTCAGTGTCCTGGTCACAGCAGGTTGACTCCAAAGGCAATGTAATGGGTTTCATGACAATTAAGGGGTATTTTCTGGGGGAACGAGAAAATATCAGAGAGAGATGGAGCAAACAATGGACAGACAGAAAGATCAATAGGAAGAGAGTATTGAAAGATCAGTGGCAGATTCTGTGGTGGGAACATAGACCCATAGACATGTTTTTACCAGTCTAAATTCTTCAATCCTTTCTCATCCATCTTTTCTCCCATCCATCCTTCTCCATTCACTTAGAAAACCATTAGTCAGACTTCGTATTCCAGTCCTAGTTTATAGCGTTATAGATTAGTTTGATAATGAATGACTGCTAGTTCTTCTAATGGAAGGCTAACTATCTTATGGAATTGCTTATTGATGTCTCTTTGGTTACATAATTAGCATAGGTATTTTTAGAATTTGGGTACATTGACTACATTGTGTGTATGCCATAATTACTGCCTGGTTCACCTTGCAGCTTTGCAAATTTAGTAATTACAGGTATCAAAAAGCATAACTGCAATCACTATATTATAAAAAGCAACCCAAGCATGCATACTTTGTATACAGAATTTCCTACTGAAGAAAACAGCCCAAGCACCTCTACGTTTCAAGCAGGAAAGGTTCCTAGATCCAAAATACAGTGTGAAGAGTTACCAAAATTTGGAGCTCCATCTGGTTTTGTTATTTCCATAGGGACCTGATTCAGCAAGGAACTAAAGCACATACTTAATTTTAAGCATCTGAGTAGTGCCATTGATTTCAAAATAAAACCTATACCTCTTATGTTTTGCTGAGCTGGTGTCATAATGCTCTAGATCTAGGTAAAGCAGACAGTTAATGTCACATGGAAAGCACTATTACAAAAGTGCTTAGCTGGTGAGCTTGCATTAGTGGGCCATTAAACTTGTCCAAGTGTTGGATCTGGATTAGAAAGAACAGATGACTTTGCCCCCCTTGATTGTTTTTTTAAGTCACATCACTTGTCCTGTGTTCTGAAAAGTAATGCAGTGTGCGGTTTTCTTAGGCCAGTTTCTCCGTCAAGGGGAGATATTCTGGGACAACTCCAACTGCACCATCAAGTGTCGCTGCCTGGACTTCAACAATGAGATCTTCTGCCAGGAGATGCCTTGCGGCCCCTACGAAGCATGTGAGCCGAAGGACAAGTTCTACCAGTGCGTGCCCGTGGAAAGCAGCACCTGCGTGGTGTTTGGAGACCCACACTACCACACCTTCGATGGCTTCCTCTTTCACTTCCAGGGTTCCTGCTCCTACCTTCTTGCCAAACAGTGCCAGTCAGGGTCCAACCTGCCATTCTTCAGTGTGGAGGCCAAGAATGAGAACCGAGGCAGCTCCTCCGTCTCCTGGGTGAAGGACATTGCAGTGGAGGTCTATACTCACAAGATTATTATCCCCAAAGGGAACTTTGGGAAAGTTAAGGTAAGAGCTTCACCGAAAAGAAATGGCAAATTGGTGTCGCTCCACTGAAGACGATAGGGTTAATATGATCGTGTAAGGATGAGGATATGGCCTGATGTCTTAATCTGGAGTCATGGCCAGACAGAACTCTGCAGATTTGTGAGTGTACATTGTAGACGGTGCTGTAAGTCAGACAGTCCCAAGACAGACTCTTAAAAACCAATCCTTCTTCCTCAAATTCTGGAGGAGCTGGGTTGGTATCTCCAGATCCAAATTCAGGATCCTGGTTAGATTCTGTCATGGCAAAGGGCGTCTTTCCCTGAATCTGGTTCTCATGGAAACCCCGTGCTCACACACAGCAGAGCAAACCTGTGGTTTTACCTGATTCTAATCTCTGGTTTTGCCCCTGCAGGTAGACGACTTGTTCCTGTCCTTACCCATCACCTTGGAACTGGGGGCAATAAAAATCTACCAGAGTGGTTTGTCAACAGCGGTGGAGACTGATTTTGGCCTTTTAGTGACTTTTGATGGGCAGCATTATGCCTCCATCTCCATCCCAGGCTCCTACATTAATGCCACCTGCGGCTTATGCGGGAACTACAACAAGAATCCTCAGGACGACAGCCTGCGCTCAGACGGGAGGCCGGCCGTGTCGGTGCTGGACCTGGGGGAGAGCTGGCGGGTATACCACCCGGACTGGAAATGCACCCCAGGCTGCTTGGACAACTGCACCCTCTGCGATTCTGTGATGGAGTCCCTCTACTTCTCACCAGAGTACTGTGGCTTCATCAACAAGACCAACGGCCCTTTGTGGGAATGCGGCGCTATTGTAGACCCCACAGCCTTTGTCCACAGCTGCGTTTATGACCTTTGTAGCATCAGGGATAATGGCACCAACCTGTGCCAAGCAATACAGGCTTATGCCTTGGTGTGCCAAGCCCTTGGGATCCCGGTGGGAGACTGGAGAACCCAGATAGGGTGTGGTAAGTCTGTATGCACGGAGGCTGAATGGCTCCCCTTGTGAAGTGGGAAGTGGTTTCAGGGGCCTTCAAGAAACTCCTATCGAAGTCAGAACAGTGCAGGAGAGAAGAAAAGGAACGAGTAGGGGAGGGCCAAGCGGGACCGAGGCAGACAGAGCGCAGGTGAAAGCCGATCAGTCCCTCTTTTCAGTCCTGAAACGCAGTACGAGGGGGCCAGGGTGTCACTCGAAGTAACTCAAGGCCAGCGAGTGCAGAACAAACAGAAGGCAGCTCTTCGCTGTGCTCTGCAGAGTTCAGGGCCACCGAACCGAGCACTGTGGCTGCATTCAAGACGGAGCCGGCCAATTTAAATGACTGCTGGCAGTCCCTGCCGCGCCAGCTGTGCGAATAAATGGAACACTTTCTACCTGCTTGCTCCCCTGAACCACTTCTATGCAGGGGGAGCTCCAGTGGTTTCATGTGGGGGAGCTCCCAGTTGACACCTACGTGGGTGAGAAGAGAAATCGGGCCTCATGCTCCCCTCTGGGAGGGCTCAGGGCAGGACTTCCTACCTGGGTATAGCACAGCTCAACTGGCTGAGTGCCCAGGGCAGGAATAATCACATTGGTGCAGTATAATTCATAAATCAAAAGGGCATATGCCCCTTACCCTCTGGCCTGTCAGGAGAAGAGATGCTAGATATAATGCTCCTGGCTGCTAACTGCAGCTCCTCTGCCTCAAATCAAAGCTGTAGAGGTGGGATGGTTGCCTTCCGGATGGACGGCAGGATAGATGTGCCTTCTTCACTGCTACCCACCCCAAGTGTCCCTACTTACAGGGCAGGGCTTAGTTACCTCTGGGCCCAACTGCCTCAGTGAAAGCCATAGGACAGGGTGGGAATAATACGACTTTATTCATAATGATAATCTAATCTTGGCAGGAGGGAATTCATGCCAAGCTCATTATCATGGAGTATGTCAGGAGGTGTTAGATGGCAAGAAGAGAATAATAATCAATAATTAATCGCTGTGGCAAGGATAATATTTAATACTAGTCAGCATCAGCATGTGCATATTACCTGTTAGACAATACTGTGCGGTGACGACTGTCTTGCTTCTCTCTGCTATATCAATAATCCATACTGCAGAAAGGAGGCACCAATTAGTGAAGTGACATGGCAGTAAGAGCTGGGAGATGGGTAATGATGATAGCAGCCATCACCTGAAAGGCTTCTGGCCGCTTGACGTTCTCGGGGAGATTCTGGGCATCAGCCCCTAGTGAAAAGTCAAAGATGCAGACACGCCTTATAGCTCCTTGAGCGTGCTAGTGTCTGTAGCCCACAGCACACTCGGGCTGATGGGGTAACTGGCACGACTGATTCACCCATAGTCCCCTGCTGGAATTCCCTTTCTCTTCTCCCAGGTTTCTGGTTTCCTTCTCCTTTCTCCCCTTATTTTCCCTCGCTTCTGTTATACAGAGGGTAAAGTGAAGGTAGGAGTTGTGCTGGCAAGGATGGGACAGGCCTGCCATACTGTGCCGCTGAAATGGGAGCACTGCATGTGTGAACCCAAAAGGGACAGTTAGTGCGGACACACAGGTCTGATTCAGATCCCACACTGGTGTAAATCAAGAGCAGCTACCTGGAAAGCAGAGTTAGAAGACAGCTGCTTCAGGCCCAGAAACTCAACTTTTAAGTTGACAAAAAACAATCTATGCACCATGAGCATTGCTCTGCTGATTTACACCCACAAGTGATCTGGCCCAGAGTGCCTTTGTAACACTGCCTCTCTCCTCTCTCCCCCAGCCACAGCAGTGCACTGTCCGGAGTTCAGCCACTATTCAGTTTGTACCAGCAGCTGCCCGGCCACATGTTCTGATCTAACCGCTCCTCTGGCCTGCAGCTCCCCCTGCACCGAGGGCTGCGAGTGCAACGAAGGCTACGTTCTCAGCACAAACCAGTGTGTCCCCATCCAGAAGTGTGGCTGCGATGTCTTTGGCCGCTACTATGCCATTGGGGAGTCTTTCTGGGCCACCTCGGACTGCATAGTGCAGTGCTTGTGCGAAGACGGTGGGGAGATCAAATGCTTCAACACCACGTGCCAGGAAGGGGAGGTCTGCACCGTTGAGAGCGGCTACCAAGGCTGTTACCCCATGCGAGAGACCTTGTGCCTGGTCAGCCAGAACCAGGTGCTGCAGACCTTCGATGGCGTGGCTTTCATGTTCCCACCGGAGCACTCCTACACGCTGCTCAAGACGTGCCCCGACAGACCGGAGTTCCTGGAAGTCGACATCAGCAAAAAGAAACCCGAAGCCTCCCCTACCGGACTTCGAGCCTTGAGGATCCAAGTGGCCAGTCATGAGGTCAAGATCGGAGGCACCGGCCCGACTGACATCAAGGTAAAGCTCCTGTCATGGGAGAATAGGGAAGCACCAGGACTTTTTTGGGCCAAAGCTTGTACGCAGCCTCGGTGTGTGGAGCATCTGTGAGCGCTGCAGCGCTTCTGTACCGCCTGCTTTGAGACAGGGGCTGTGGACTCTAGATCCCAGGCTAGAGGGTCTTGATCTTCTGTTCAGTGCCACACCAGTTGCCGGGACAGATTTTTTCTCCCAGGCTCATTGGCATGAATAGTGTGCAGTGGGGGAAAGGGACTTGCTTTCTTTGGTAGCATAAATTGCACGATCCTCTTCCTAAGATCCACTGGGCATATATCAACCAACTATTTTTCTGCTGTAGCAGGTATTAGCAGTGCCCTGCAGCATGCCCTGTTGTAGGGGGCTTTTGGTGGTTTGGGTTTCGTCGTGTGCTCAGCCTTTGCGGTGCACGAGTGGGGTTGGAGTGGTTGGCTCTTGGGATCCTCCAGGTAAATGACCCCTAGATACATAGTAATGTAGGAGACCAGACTCGATGGCCCAAAAATCCCCTTCCAACTCTGAGTTCCTACCAAAGGCAGCCTTATCTGCCAGAAATAAATGTTGCAATTAGCCAAGGCACAATGGCTCTTTGTTGCTAGGGGCACAGCTGGGAAAAGAACCCAAGTGTCCTGGCTCTTCCTACTGGGCAGCTCTACTAGTCCCAGCATACACAGGTGGAAATTTAGGAGTCAAACCTAATTCTCAAAAGCTCCTTTGAAAAATCACTCCCTTTGCCTCTACCATCTACTGTCTCAGAAGCCCCTGGTTCTTTTACCCTTCCATCCAGCACAGTTGATGGGTGGGAAATAGACACCGAGTGAACGAATCAGGCATGCTAAAGTGTGGAATAACAGGATTTAATTAGTATTGGACCCAGGCCCTGTGCTTGGGGGAGGTGGTGCTGTGAGCTGTTGGACCGTGGGGACTCTGCTTGGAATGGATGCCAAGACCAGGGCACGTAGCAGGAAATAAATGTACAGTGCCTGTACTGCAAGTCTGTGGTTTTTAATTAAAATACAGTTGCCTGCAGAGCCCCTGGTTGCGGTGTAGTTCTAGTCAGCAAAGCAGCACCAGAAAACAAGGAGCCTTCTTCCCAAGCTCTCTGCAAGTCATTAAGTCTTATCTGCTTGCTTTACTTTTGCAAGTGAAATCTTGCTCCTCCTGGTCCTGCTGAGACGAGGCCCACCGCAGGAGGGAAGGCAGGATGCTACTCTGACTCATGCATCATTAACAAAAACCATTGCTAAGATTCTCAGCTAAGCTCCATTTGCCAAACATTTATTAGTGGTGAATGATGATGCTAGATGCAGAAAGGGCTCCGCTTGATTGATCGAATCCCAGCCCGAGTCTCTGTCATTGGCATTAGAAAAAGCATCTCTTGGCTTCAAGAAAGGGCTGGGAAAAGCAACCCCCTGTGGAATCCGCTGCAGAGTTGCTGACAAACAGTCACTCCTGGCTGTAACCTCACTTCAAGCCATAGCTGTTTAAAAATGCATATACTGCGGGCAGGTGAGGGGAATAAGGGCGTGAGGCTGCCAGCAATCCTGTTTATTACCACTGAAACCCATGGGTTTTTCCAGCAGCCAGTGCTAATACTGAGTGTTGCTCTCAGACATGCCAGTGTGCAGCACTCTTTCACCATGCTCACAGTCTTCCCCACTGCTTCATGCCCTGCTGGGTAATGGGCACCAGCCCCCTCTGCTAGATGGAGTCAGAATTGCTCATTTGTTGGCATAGGCGGTAGGTATATTGTGAATGGAGAGTTGCTTTTCACTCTAGGAGGAGAGACATCTATCCCTTAGAATCACAGAAACGTGGAGATAGAAGCATCTCAGGAGTTTGTCTAGTCCCATCCCCACCTGCTCGAGTCAGGATCATGTGTCCAAGCCACCCTACACAAACGTGGGTTGAACCGGCATTTAAGAACAACTGGTAATAGAGATTGCACAACCTTTCTAGATGGTCCATCTAAGTGCTGCACCACTCCGCTTGACAGAGGATCTCTGCTATTGATCATGACAATGGGGTTAGCTCTTAGGAGCCCAGTCATAGGCCAACACCCCATTGTACAAACACAGAACAAATTGATGGCTCAGACCCCAAATATTTTTATAAACCAGATGTGAAATTCCAAATGGGCATCTTTCTGTAGTAGCAGCTGTGAGGTTTTGAAGAGACCAAGGGTTGGTTAGATTAGCTTATGTCCTAGCTACAGTCTCTCCCGTGCCTTCCTTTTGACTCTTCCGCTCTGATCTCACAAGGGCAATGGGAGATGTTAACGTAGATCAAACTACGGTGCGTGTCCCACTGGTGGAGCACTGGCTGTACTAAATCCTTAGGCAGGTTGGTTGAAGGTATAGCACAGATGGAAGAACCCATTATAGCTTAGTCCCAGTGCAAATGCCTGCTGTCCACCCTGTACTTGAGGTGGGTTTTGGAAGCAACTTCATGCTCTCCCTAGTGTAGAGCAGGAGCTTTTCCACCTTGCTGGCTGAGGTCAGGGAGGGCAGTAGGCGCCTGATCTTCAGAAGTCACATCCAGACAGGGGCACATCCAATTATGTGATGCAATTTTGTTGGCAGGTGAATGGCTACGAAGTGGACCTGCCGTTTTTCCACCCTTCTGGCCAACTGGAAATTTACCGTAGCAAAAACGGCACAGTGGTAGACTCTGAAGGGCTCCTGACTATTCAGTACTCCAACATGGGTATCCTGGAGATACACCTCTCGACCAGCTACTTCAACTGTACAGGAGGGTTGTGTGGCTTCTTCAATGGGAACAGCAGCGATGAGTTCTGCCTCCCCAATAACAAGTGCACCGAAAACCTGGCCGTCTTTTTGGAGAGCTGGACCACATTTGATGAGATCTGTAATGGGGAATGCGGGGACCTGCTCAAAGCCTGCAACAACGACTCGGAGCTGCTCAAGTACTACAGGAGCCGCTCCAAGTGCGGGATCATCAACGACCCCACCAACAGCTCCTTCTTGGACTGCCATGGGGTGGTCAACGTGTCGGCGTACTACCGAACGTGCCTCTTCCGCTTGTGCCAGAGTGGAGGAAACCAGTCGGAGCTCTGCGATTCGGTGGCTCGTTACGCCGGCGCCTGCAAGAACGCAGGGGTGGATATTGGCCAGTGGAGGAGCTACAGTTTTTGTCGTAAGTCGGGGAAGTTCTTTGGTTGACTGTTTTTTTGGCTGACTGGGAGGGGAGGCTGAGTGAGGACGGGGGGGGTTGAACTCTGATTGTTCAGGCCAGAAGCATAACGAAGCAGCCAGTCACCTGGGGCAGTGGTGACTTGTGCAGCACAGGCAGGTGATATTTTTTCCACCCCGCAAAGCTGGCACCAGATCACCCTGCCCTAGTTATGCTACTGGTTTGGAGACCTTTTTGGAAAACTCAGCATCTTCTTCCTAGTAGAAGACAAATAGATTTTTTTTTTTCCTTCCTCCTTTCCTGTCCCAAGATGCTGCTCATGGAGGCTGTGCTTCCAGCCTCGAGTTTGAGGAGAGTCATTGAAAGTGCTTGAGGTGGTCCCATAATATAATGGCTTACCAAGACCAAGGGCCCATGACTTCAGCACAAGAGAATTATTGATCTAAGGCACACCAGTTTCCATAGCCAGGAAAGGGAGTGCTGCAGCTTTGACAGCCCTGTCCATATGACCTGGTACCATTATATCTGGGCCAAACAGACTCACATTTTGGTCTGAGGCTGGGTTAAGGCTCAACCTCTTGCCTGTGGAGGTTAAGTGAGACCCCTTATCTGCTCAGCCTCTGTGCTCCCCACATAAAATGTAAAGCTGGTCACGTTCTTCGCAGGAGATGAGGCTTAGATGATCATAATATGGCCCCATGTGACTTTTTTTTTGGAGGGGGGGACAAAAGTGGCTTTTTGAGCCAAATGAAATTTCTCTTGGAAAATGATAAGGTTTTGGGAGCAGGGGCTGCCTCTTTGTTTTATGTGCAAAGGACACAGCAGGGCATAGCATGGTGGGGTCATGATTCATGATTGGGGTCCATAGTCTCTATCACAATACAAATATCTGTTGTTTTGTAGGGTTACCCAGCACCATGCTATCTGGGCCCTGTATAAATTCATAAGGCAATACCCTGGTCCTAACAAAGTCATTGGGAAATCAAGATTCCTAAAAGAAATTTAAAGCCCAAAAGGGACGGTTCCTACTGCCTTGTCAGCTCTCCTGCCTAACAGAAGCCAAAATATTTCACCCAGGACCTCCTGCAACCATTGCAGTGTCAGATCAGGAGCAGAAGTTTGATTTGCAAAAATAACATCTCCACCAAGTTTTGCTTTTGCTGTTTAACAGGCTCCAGTCGATCCGTGCCTTTTGTGGTGCGAGACACCAGTGATGCATGACGCACGCTCTTATCTAGCTGTGCTAAGCCATGCGTTTGGGGGATCAAAGAGCAAATGGGGATATTTCCTAGCTTGTTTACCAGACGGTTACTCAGCTGAGGGCCCAGATTGGGCCCCAGTAGCATCATAGCAAAATAGGCCCTTGTAACAGTAAAAATATATTCATATTTTTCTTGAAGAATTGGCAATTGAATGGGTGACTTGGACAAATTAAGAGTGTAATCTTGTTTGAGCATGAAGATACAAAACTGTCTCCTTTTGTGCTCGTGGTATTTTTTAAGCATTTCCTTTGCCTGCAGAGACAGGTTTCCCAATTAAGTAATTTCATGGTGGCATTTCAAGAGACATCAGGAGTTCTATTACACTGTAGATGAGCGTTCCAGAATTGCAGATGGATTCTAACAATACTGTAAGCCATCAACAGAGGGTAATTTGAATAAGTCATGTTTTTTGCTATTGCTATAAACTTGCCATTGATGTTACAACATTCATAATTCAGGAGCAAATGTGAAAATTCCACGGTGCTGAAGTACATAATCTGAGATGAACTAGCTGTGGTCCCTTGAGCTCAGGGCTTACAGGCATGTGAAGGGTGGAGGGCAGGAGAAGCGGTGGGGTATTGAAGTTAGGGCTCTGGACTGAGTCGGGAGCTTCGGGTTGGGTTCCTGGCCATGCTACTGACCTGTTGTGTGACACTGGGAATAGTCATTTCTTTTGTGTCTACCTCTGTTCTCACTCCAGCCCATGGTTTGTCTTACCTGTTTTGATGGTGAGTTGTTCAGGGCAAGGGTATAGACATGAAGGGTGGTGATGATAGGGGAGAACCAGAAATGTGCATGTACAGTAGCCACTGAACCCAAAAAAGCTTGTTGCTTGCAGTATACACTGTGGTCACATAGCACACTTACTCTCGAGCAATTTGAATCGGCTCCAGGGTGAAAGTGGATCAATTATTTGATTAGCCTTACATGCATATAAGTCCTACCCTTCCAGGCAAATAGGATCATAGGAAAGTAGGGCTGAAAAGGACCTCACAGGGTCAACTAGTCCAGCCGCCTGCTCAAGGCAGGATCCTCCTGACTAAACCATCGCAGCTAAGTGTCTGTCCAACCTGCTTTTGAACATTTCCAGGGATGGAGATTCCCTAACTTGTCTAGGGACCTTGTTCCAATGCTTCATTGCTCTTGTAATCAGAAAGTTCCTCCTAATCTCCAACCTAAACTTCTTCTGCTTGAGTTAATTGCTCCCAGTCCTGTCCCCTATAGCCACAGAAAAAAAGGCTATCTTTATCCCCTCTATAATCACCCTGCAGATGTTTGAAGACTGTTATCAAATCCCTCCCCGCTGCAACCTCAGTCTTCTCTTCTTCAGACTAAATCATCCTAGTTCTTCCAACCTTGCTCATAAATCATTGTTACTCCCTAGGAAGCAAGGAGTAGCTATACCGAACTAAGTTATCCTGGTATGCCAGCTGTATGTCTGCTCCCCTGGTCGATATTATTTTGGGTAACTTTGTTCAGTGCAAACCGGCTTCCACACCAGGCATTGTAATAACTCCTACTACAGACAGCTACTGGTAGCTTGAGACCTGGTCATGTGTATACTCCTTACTGTGGAGTAAATTTAACACTGAATAATTGTGCTGTGTGCCTGCACCCTTAAATGGACAGTCAGTGAACTCATTTATGCACAATGTCAGCAGTGGCATTGGGGATAGAAGTTCCCAGAGGGATCAGGTGGAGAATATTTACAGAGAAAATTAAAACAAAAATAAAAAGAGGGTAAATTTGAACGGGATCCTGAGATCAGGCAGAGAGGAAACTCCTGCACGAGGGACGGGCAGGAAAGCATCAGGATGGCCAAAACAGGGAAGGAAACAGTATCTGAGGTGGGCGTTCCTGCACCACCATCTCCTTCCTCCCCCCATGGGTGCTACAGGGTCTGTTTTCTCTCTGCCCTGAATCCCCATCTCTGATGACTGAGGTGCTTTTCTCTCTAAGAAGCCATTGACACTGGGTGTGTTTTGTTGCCTCCAGCTCTCGTGTGTCCTGAGAACAGCCACTTTGAGGAGTGCATGATCTGCACGGAGACCTGTGAAACCCTCGCCATTGGCCCTGTCTGTGTGGACAGCTGTGAGGAAGGCTGCCAATGTGATGAAGGCTTTGCCCTCAGAGGGACTGAGTGCATCCCCAGGAGTGAGTGCGGCTGCAATTTTGAGGGGCATCAGCTCTCCACCAACCAGACCTTCTGGATGGACATCAACTGCCAGTCCTTCTGCTACTGCAATGGGTCTGACAACAACATGTACTGCGAGAACATCCCCTGCAAGGAAGATGACTACTGCCTGGAGGAGAATGGCCTCTATTACTGCCACCCCCGCACCGATGCCTCCTGCATTGTTTCTGGCTACAGCCATTACTTGACCTTTGATGGGTTTGCTTTTGACTTCCAAAGCAGCTGCCCACTTGTCTTGTGCACAACCATCTCCAGGCAGCGGTCGGAGAGGTCAGATACTTTCCCCAAATTCACTGTCACAGCCAAGAATGAAGACCGGGACCCATCCTTAGCTTTGTGGTTGAAACTAGTCGAAGTGGAAGTCTTCAATTACAACATAATCATCCAGCGGGCCTACAAACACACAGTGCTGGTGAGTGGCCTAACTGTAGGGTGCCTCAAAGGCAGCAGGCTGGGGTTGGCCATCTGAGGGCTGGGCGGAGGCTCGGGTAGATGGTAGTTATGGTGCTGGATGGGAAATATAAAGCTTTAGTAGATCTTGAGTCCTAGTTTTGTCCCACCCTCGTTTGCTGCAGCACCTGCATCCCAGTTGGATCCTCTCCAGAATTCCTCATGCTTAAGCATCTTCTGCTACATTCCTTTCACTGGGCTGCCATTGATCTCTGCTTCCACAAAGGCCTCCTATTTTCAGCTCTGGTGCCTTTCTGGTTGTGTAAATGCCAGTGCCAATTTGTGCTCAGACTGTGAGGAAGGATGATGCTCCACTAAGCGATGTTGGAGGGTCCAGACTGGCCAGCCAGAAGTTTCCTTCGATCGGCTGGAACTTGCCTGGGCTTTCCATGCTGTCGCTTCTAGAGGCTTGTTTTTTCCCGGAGGGACTTGTTTGTGGAAGGGAGAAAGCAGAATCTACCTATTTCCAAACTGTTTTCATTATATGGCTCAATCTGGGGCACAAGTGGTCACAAACTGCAGTGGTGACAGAAGGAGCCCTAGTGTGGAAAATGTTGGGACCAGATCTAACCTGTCTCTCAGCGGCTAACACTGACTCCTCCAGGGCTGTGTGCAGGTGGTGGTGGTTGTTGCAGTTAGCATGGGATGTATCACCACTTTTTCAGATGTGTTGTATTTAAATCCGTGCACACTAGTGGAAGAGCATAACCCACGAGAAATGATGCTCCTCTGTCCTTGCAGGTTAGTAATGATCAGCTGTATTCATCTTTCTGTCTGCTTCCTTTCAGATAAACAATGAGCGTCTCTACCTGCCCTTGAAACTGGGCCAAGGGAAAGTGAACATCTTTGCCTTTGGTTTTCACATTGTGGTGGAGACTGATTTTGGTCTGAAGGTGGTGTATGACTGGAAGACCTTCCTCTCTGTCACCATCCCACGAAGCCTCCAGAACAGCACGTACGGCCTCTGTGGCCGCTACAACGGCAACCCCGATGATGACCTGGAGATGGCTAGCGGCACATTGGCTACCACCATCTATGAGTTTGGTCAAAGCTGGGTGAAGCGGGACACGTTTTGTCAAGTGGGCTGTGGTGACCGGTGTCCTGCCTGTGGGAAGGTGGAAGGGTTCTGGAAACCCCAGCAACTGTGCAGCCTCATCCCAAGCAAAAGCGGAGTCTTTGCCAAGTGCCACAGTAAAGTCCACCCCGGCTTCTTCTACAAGAACTGCCTCCTTGACACCTGCATTGATGGCGGAGCGACACAGACTGCTTGCAGTTGGCTGCAGAACTACGCCAGCACGTGCCAGACCCAGGGAATAGCCATCACCGGCTGGAGGAACTTCACTTCATGCTGTGAGCAGAGCCTTTTTCTTTTGTCCTTTATCATGTAATCTGCTTGGATGATTGTCTTCTCCTGGGCCAGGTTTCCAGGCAGCGATGCCCATTTGCATCAAAGGGCTGAGCCCTTTGCAAGCAAAAACTAACAGCTTCCATCTCTCACTGTAAAGGGAGTGGGATGTAAAAGAGAAAATCACAGTAGAGATTAGTAGGAGCGAGGTTCACATCCAAGTCCTGATCATAGTTTCATAGTTTCAAAGTAGCTAGGGCCAGGAGGGACCTGAACAGATCATCTGGCCTGACCCCCTGCCACAGGCAGGAATGAATGCTGGGTTCACAAGACCCCAGACAGGTGATCATCCAACCTCCTCTTGAATATGGCCAAGGTAGGGGCGAGGACCACTTCTCTGGGAAGTTGGTTCCAGATTTTCGCCACCCTAACTGTAAAATATTGTCTTCATTGCTCTGCGTAATCCATGGGAGATTAATCTCAATACATTGGCCCTTTTCCTTGTGCAAAAGAGTCCATGTCATAAAATGGCCATCCTCTATGGTAGTATTAATGCCTCCACCCATACCCACTTTGTGGCAGCCTGAATAGCTGGTGGAGCACAAGGACTGCATGAAACATGGAGACTGAGCTAGTGTCTTGTCCTTCCAAGTGATTCCTGAAGACAACAACATAACTAAGATTGGATGACAGGGGCAGCAGCCCTGGGTGCCAACTTTGGGGGATAGGGGGGAAAAAGGGCAGTGACAACATATCATCTGCCACCACACCCATGCTGCTGGCACCAGCAGCCAGAAGTTGCTGCTGCCCCAGGCACCCAGCTGCTCTGTTATGTCTCTACCTGAAGAACAGAGTCCAAGGCTTGTTGAGGTGGGACCATGATAATGAGAGCTTGTGGTGCCACTGCCCTTGCTTAAAAAGAGCCTCTGAGACTCTATGCTGGCTACATTTCTCCTCCAGCCTGGTGGCAGGGTGCAGTGAGGATGCCAGGCTAGGTTTGTAGGTAGCGTACGCTAGTACATACAAGCAGCCTTCTAGCTATCTTGGCAGGAGGGAGCATCCTTATGAGGTGGGAGCTCTGCATGGTCTTGAACAGATTGTTTAACATACATCTTCTGTGGGGTGAAAGCTGAAACCTCTCGCAGCAACGTGGAGCTTGGGGGACATCAGCTATTTTACAGCTTTGTATCACTTTCACCAACCTGTTTCTCCGGAGCAGGCAGGAAGAAATCCTGAAAAAGTCAAAACATTTTGGCACTTTGGGCATTTATACATGTGCTCTAGAAAGGGGGGGATGGTGCACTTTAATTAGAGGGCTCTAATTAAAGCGCCTAGAGAGTCACGTGTATCAGCGTCCCCACTCTGAAAAACAGTAGTGGGGGTGCTTTAACGAAACCTCGTCAGATGAGCTTTAGTTAAAGCACCCCTGCCACTATTTTTCAGTGCGGGGATGCTGGTACACGTGACGCTGAAGTCTGCTGGAGCGCAGTAATCACCACGCTCCAGCAGGCTCCATTAATCAAGTCTGCTCTGACACACTAATTACAGTGCATCGGAGCAGCCTCACTGCACGTGTATAGGCGCCCTCTGATTCCAAACACTTTTCATTTTGAAATTCCCCTCTGTTTTATTTTTTTAAAAGGCTTAAAAATCAAACACAATTTTTCCTTTTTGGGACCATTCAAAATAAGTGTAAAAAAATGCTTTTGGAACAGCCAATGAACCAGAAAATTAGCCGCTGTTTCCTGGGCCTCATCTGCAGACTATTTATGATGGCCCATTGCTAGGAAGCAGCATAGCAGAAAACCGCTATGTAGTGCTGCTGTTATTGATGCTGAGGGAGATCGCCATCATGATGTTGGTCTCTGGGGGCAGGGCGGTGATGGTGATTACAGTAGAGCTGAAAATCCTTGAAGCTCCAGAACCAAAAATATTGGCTTGAGATCACAGAGCTGAAAAGAAGAGACAGGGAAGAAAAATAGCTCAGTAAATAGCTCAACAAGAAAGAGATGTGTACAAGAGTCACGGAAGATTATCTCTCATGTCAATGGATTCATAAAGGAAATGGAGCTGCAGAAGAATGAATTATGGGTCAGTCACTAAATCTGATGGTTTCCTGAGCACTTGGCAGAAAACAAGTTTGTCTTCAGAAATTCTCCAGGCTGTTTGGTCAAATTCATTGTGCTACGGCCTGGTTGGGGAAAGGGCCAGAGAGGCTGTTCTTGTTTCTGTTCCTGGGCTTATAACCAATCTGCTCAGTTGCTGAGATTGGCAATGTGCCTTGGTTGTGCCAAGAAGGGTTTTCACTTGGTTTTCCCAGTCTAGGGAGCAGGGAAGTCGTCCTTTGAGTTCTGTGCCAAGTCCCCGTGCTGTAAAGTAGCTTGCCTGCCTCCGCCTTGCAAATACAATAAGCACCGTCACCAGATCCAGTGGCAAACACAATCCCCGCTTCCCGTAGCTGGCACCTTATGCCCGGGGGAGCCCCATTAAAGTCAACAGCACAGAGCACCATTGCAAGGGTTTGCCCGTCACGGCTCAGTTGCTGAACTGGGGCCATGATTCCACGTCAGGTTTCTCAACCTGTCCGTCGCGACCCAAAAGTGGGTCACAAGGATATATGAAAGGGTCGCGAACACACTGTAAAGGAGAAAAATATAAAAGACAAAAACATGGGGAATGGTGGCTTTTCCCTTGCAGGCTGGCAGAGCTCCAGTCTGCAAGGGGCTGCTTGGGACCCTCTAAGTCCCACACACACCCACGTCCTGCCCCACACGCTGGTCAGGGTCGGGAGTGAGGGGCACTGGGTCAGGACTGGCCGTCAATGTTTCCAAATGGGTCCTGGTACAAAAAAGGTTGAGAACCACTGGCGTAGTTTTGTTAAAGGGTGAGAGCCGTGGGGAGACCAAGACTGAACCGGGCTTTCCCTGATCACAGCATGCAGGTTGGGCTGGTCAGCACAACAAACCAAAGCCAGGTTTGGAAAGGAGTTAGAGCAGTGGGTTTCACCCTTTTTATTTGCAGACCTCAACATTTCAAATGGAGGCACAGACCCCTTTGAATTGTGTGGTGTATTCACGTTTGATTGACCATAGTCATCTTCCGTGCACCCCCAGGCATGGTCCGCAGAGCCCCGTGGATTCGCAGACCACAGGTTGAAAACCACTGGGTTAGAGATCAAAGGAGTGGCAACCAGGGTCCCTGACACGGCTGCGTTTGTGCGGTAGAGGTGATACTGGTCTGTGTTTCTCTTTGCTAAGCTGAGGAACCGTGCTAGATCCTGGTCAGCCCTGCTCCAGGCTCACTGAAGCACCATCTTCAAACCGTGTCCTGTGTTCAGTCTCACACCATGAGCAGTTAGATGTGTTATAAAGCCCTTCCCAGCCTTACAGATAACCCTTGTAGTACAGTTTAACAACGCGGATCTCAAAAATGGGAGATGAGAGCCAGCGGATGCAGCAACATTTGGAAACTAGCCACTGGCTCTGTGGGAGAAGCCTGGTCTTCAATTAATGCACCGGCTCAGGAGACTGTGGCTTCATTCCTGGCTCTGCCACAGGCTACGTGTGCGAGTCGGGGCAAGTCACTTGCACTTTCAAGGCCTCAGTTTTACCACCCATAAAAAAGAGATGTTGCTGCCTGTGCAAGTGCCATGAGGAGAAACACAGTAGTGGGGCTCAGGCACCCCAGGGATTAGGGGGACAGGTAACCAAGAAAATAAAGTGCTCCTTTTGCATCTGGGGTCAAGGCCATTATAACGGGCGCTCTCAAATCAGCTGCACTTGTCATGCAGAAACAAACCACTGAAAAATATCTTCCCCTCTAGTGCTTGGTTCACTACTGCTCCCTGCTGATGGAAGACACTCCCTTGGCTTGCATGGTTGAATGCAGTATGCCGTGTCCTGTGTTCAGATCCTGCAGAGAACCTCTGCCAGGGCCTTGCTGAATAGACAGACCCCTTACAGTGCAGTATGTTTTGCAGGTTGTAGCAAATCCAGGGCTGCAAAGGGTTAAATCCCAAATTCAGAAGGGAGTAGCTCTTCCTCCTTTGTTAAGCATGAATTTTATTAGTCATATATGAGGGGAAGATTATGTGTTTGTTCTAATGACACCGCCTGCTATTGTCAATAAGATTACAATGCATTGTTCAGTTATACTCCTCATAAGTGGAGCTGCAAACCTCTCCAGCAGACAGACTATCTATTGGGTGAATCAGACAAAAAGTAATTTTCATCACTAACAAGTGATTAAATTGTGTTCTTTCTCCTTTCTTCTCTTCAAACTCATGACTTAAAATCTAATGCTCCTGAATTGCAGGGACTCTCTGGCTGCGGCTGGGCCAGGTATAGCGTGGGCCTGAGCGGCGCCAGCTTCCACAGCTTGCATTTCATATCTGAAGTGTCCTCAGGAGAGCAGGATGCCTGTATGTGATATAGGTGTAGGACTGTAAGGCATATATGAGGACAAAAAGGGAGCTTGGGAGTAATGGAGGTCTAGACAGCTCTGTCTAATGGGGAAGGTGCTCGCCTGGCCTTGGGGAGCCCTGGATTATATTCTAGGTAGCAGTTCTACTACTCATCGATTGTGTGTTCTTGGGCAGGGTGGAATTAGCATCTCATGTAGGATCCTAAATCCACTAGCGACTTCTAGTTAACATAAAACCACTGTAGAACAGGCTGCCGGGACGAGCTGTTAAGTCAGCCATGTGCTGACTAGGTCCCTGCAACATGCCATCCACCCTATGCAGAAGCAGCCAGGGAGCAGAGTCGGTTGTTGGCCCTAATGTTGACAGGGCAAGGAGCATGTGAAGAAGACTGTGTGAGCTGGCAGAGAACCAGCCTGGTCAAGTTTATGTGCAAGGGAGACAGGGACTGGAGATGAGTCTCCGGTGTGTGGACCAGAGATGGACACGGGTAGGTCAGAGCAAAAGTTAGAGGAGGACTGAAAATGCGGGTTTTTGAGACGTGTGCCTAGGCAGGGTCAAAGGAATTTGTTGGGAGGGAAGAGACCAGGCTCTATACTCCACACACGTGTAATTTATGTTGTCAAAACTGGCCCAGAAGCCAGAGCCTCCCACCCCTGCTCTTCTGAAAAGGACCAAGACCTTACGTGACCGGGGGACCATGTTCGAATCCTGCTCTCAGGGTTCTCCGCCACTGCCTTGCCGTGTGACCCGGTCCCTCTCCTGCTCTGTGTCCCAATTCCTGCAGCAGTAAAATGAGGATAAAGACATGTAACCTCAGAGGCGGTGTGAGACAAATGGTAATCCATGCCTGGTAGGTGCCTGGCACTCTCAGGCTGTGCCTGCTGGCAGACCCTTGGATCCGGTTCCCTTCTGGTCCATGGAGTTGTGGGGCCAGCGGTGGGAGTCTGTGTCAGCCTTGCCCCTTGGAAACCGTGACTGTGCCTCTCCATCTGAATATCAGAGCTAAGCTTGTCAGCCTGACTGAACTGTGTGGTTGCTGGAGGTGGGATACACCTGGCTGTTCATTCATCCAGTACAGTTCATTGTCTGCTTTTTCCTGTATACTCAGCCCATGTCCCCTTTGCCTTCCAGCTGTCAGCTGTCCCCCCAACAGCCACTATGAGAGCTGCGTGTCCGTGTGCCAGCCCCGCTGTGCTGCCATCCGGCTGAAAAGCGACTGCAATCATTATTGCGTGGAGGGGTGCCAGTGTGACCCTGGCTATGTCCTGAATGGCAAGAGCTGTATCCTTCCCCACAACTGCGGCTGCTACTCAGATGGAAAATATTATGAGGTAGGATTGTCGTCCTCCTCTTCCTCCTCCTCTTCCTCCTTTCTGGCTAAGACGTGTACTTGGAGATGTGGGGGAAGGAGGGAAGTCTTTCACTAACGTAACAGTGCAGACACATTCAACAAAGACAAAGTGACTTACCTTTTTGTGACTTGTCTCTGTGCAAATCACTTTTTGCCTTTGTGCAGCATATACACACTGGAGGTTTAAGCCAGAGCATCTGCATCAGTGCAGAAACCAAGCCAAGCCCAGGATTAAATTCTCATTTACACTAAGGCATTTGGTTACACTATCGCAAGCAGCATCAAACGCTCCTAGGAATAAGTGGAGGCAGTCTGTGTATCATGGCCCACCTTTTCCCCCTTTCTTCACTTTGCTTTCCAGTAAGAGTCCCCTGATGTCCCTGCATGTCTTGCTCTTAGCTAACTTCTTCTGGATGGATGGAGGTGTTGCATCTCAATGAAGGCATCTTCAAGGAGCTGCTCTTGTCTTTCTCTGAGCAGGAAGGGAGAAAAAAAGAAAGCTGAATCTCAGAGCAGACAGCACAAATTATGGTGCTTTTCTTCCCCAAATAGCCTGTGGAATTGGGTAATAAACGGTTCCCAAACAAGAACAAAACAGACACGGAGAATGGAAATGCTCTCCATCTGCTCTGGTTTTTATGCCCTTTGTTGCCTTCTAATTGGAGAGGGCCCTGTTAGACTTCAGTTCAAAACAAGGGAATTCTATTCTGTCTTTGCTTCTGGCTCCGTGGGAGGGTGAAATCTTCCTGGAAGATAATTTGTGGGTACATTTAACAGCTTCCCCCTCCTCTGCTAGCTGCACCACTGGCACAGGAACGCAGAGAGAGTTTTCTCTGTTGTTATCTGGAGAATGATCCCGGCATAATTAATAACATAATATATTTAGCTGTATAATTCTTCACGTTATGTAATATTAATTAGCTCTAATCCTTGCAAAGGAACAACAAATTCTTAATAATGAATTAAGAATTTCAGCCTGGCGCACAGTAAAAGCACAATACAATGAAACTTTAATTGGTCTGGTATCATTTGCATGAACCGGTGATGTCGGTTTTCCCTTTCCTTCACCCATGCAGTTCTCTTGACTTCAGGGGACTTAATCCCTCTTTACAGTTGAGCAAAAGAGAGGAGAGGATCGGGTTCACAGACTCTACTAGAAATTATAGGGTTAAAGTAATAAAGAGTGGAGGACGTAGGAAAATCTGGAGGGAAGTGAGAGATGTTTTCAGATGAGAGATGCAATGAGGGGGGCCGAGGTGGAGAGATGCAGAGGAGAAGGCTCTCGTGCCTTGAGTTTGTGAAGGGCTGTGGATGGTTTTCTGCTCTGACGTACCAAAATGATACCATTCGTTGGCCAAAAGCCTATGGTGCCCCCGTTGCAGCTGGGAGCGGGTGGTACCGGCGCTCGCCCCACCAGGCCTCGTGGACCATTGTGCTGTAGCTGGCATTCAGTTGCTCTGCTGTCACTAATAAGCACTTCTTTTCAGTGGCTTGTCACTCGCATCATTTTCTTCTCCTCTAAGGCTTAAATTAGACATGAGAGTTGGTTGGCATCTCTCAACACGCTCAGCCCCAAACAGGGGTGCGTTGAGCAATAAAACAAGAATCGTTCCATCAGAAGAGGTAAAAAGTTAACACTGACAGCTCTTTCTGTGGCTTCTGAGTATCGATTTTACATTTCCGATGGAGGTGATTTTTCACAGGGAGAAGGGCCATCATGTTTGCGCACGACATACAGAAGTGTCAGACTAAAACGAGGACATTTGATTGGGGCGTGTTTGGCCCTGGAGTAATTAGTTTCCTCCAAGGAAAGTACCAAGCCAGTTGGGATATATTTATATGTATAAGCCCGTGTATATGTGGTTTAGAAAAGAAACCTTCAGTGACTGAGTGGATGGGGACCAGAATCCAGGACTCCTGTCTTCTATTCCTGTCTGAGACTGACTCCCTGCCTAATCTTGAGAAAATAGCCTAGGGCATGGGCAAAATGATCAAACTGCAGCCAGGGCAGCCATCGGGTGGTAACTGCCTGTCTGCTGGGTCTTGCCCTAGGGTGAACAAAAGCAGCTCATATGAGCTTGTACATGCTGATCCCCTTTGGACCCAGGGAAGGACTCGGTTGTTCTAGTTATAGAGACCTGACCCTTCAGTCCTGGCTTTTCAACATGGCTGTGACATACCCATTACATGCGTATTGCACAGCATTGCAGGCATGTTTTGCACACTTCCCATCTGCATGCAAGGGAGATAACTTGCAACCTTTACATGCATGAAGAAAGGAGGTCGTAGATCCACTGGGCAGCGTTTAACATGCCCAGGTGACTGTGCCCAGAAGTACATAGGTGGGTTTGTGTGTGGTGGCCTCACAAATGGAGCTGTAGATTAGAGTCTCACCTCGGGGTGATTAATGCAGCCGTGGAGTATTTGTTGCACTAAAGTCATCCCAGGGCAGGCTGCTTCTCAAGAAAGATGGCTTGTTTACGAGCTGTTTTTATCCAAAGTCCTGTGGTTGTTTTTCTCCTTGAAAAAAATGTGGTGTCTAAGTTCTTATCAGAAGTGAAGAATACCTGTATGTTCAATTATACTGGAAATCTGATACAGGGGCTTTAAGTCAATTTGTGTTCTGCTGGAACAGTACAAAAAAGTGGTCAAAGGGATGGATATTTATAGCGCTATAGTTTTGAGAGAGACAGGAGAGGTTGCTGTGGAAACTGCAACTTCAGATTTGCCTTACTGTTGTGGCTTGCAAGGCTTTGGCAAAGTTGCATTTCTTGGATTTCTTCTTCTTTTTTTATTTTTATTATTGGCTCCTAGTTCACGAAGTCTATGAAAAGTGAAAGCCTGCAGCTGGATTTTTAAAAGGGCTGGACAATTTTAGGTTGATTAATTACCGTGTTGGCTCTGAAGAAGGCTAATTAAATCTCACGCTTCAGGGCCTAAGAGCACCCCAGGAGTCTGTCCTCTGGATAGTACTACGCAATTGGTATTACAAAGGTCGCCCTCCCACTCCATCTTCCTCTCAACTCTCAGGTATTGGCCATGTCCTGCCGTGGAGTATTGGACTGGAGATATCAATGGTTTGATTCGAGATTGCATATGTGTGTCACCGCTGCCCTTCTTGGGCCTCAGAAACTGCCCTGACAGGTCAGGTGGGCTGAGCCTGCACCCTCACTGTACTCCCAGAGGCCCCAGTGATGGGCACCCAGCTGAAGACAGGCTCGTCCATCTAGTGACATGGCTCTTCTTTGTGCTTCCTCCTTTTTAGCCCAAGCAGCTCTTCTGGAACAGCGACTGCACCCGGCGCTGCCGCTGCTTCCGCCGCAACCTCATCCAGTGCGACCCACGGCACTGCAAGTCGGATGAGGAGTGTGCCCTGCGCAACGGTGTCCGCGGCTGCTTCAGCACCAAGAGCTCCTACTGCATCGCAGCGGGCGGCGGCGTCTTCCGGACCTTTGACGGAGCCTTCCTCCGCTTCCCAGCCAACTGTGCCTTCGTCCTGTCCACCATCTGCCAGAAGCTGCCCGATTTCTCCTTCCAGCTCATCATCAACTTTGACAAGTGGTCATCCCCCAACCTCACTGTCATCTCCCCAGTGTATTTCTACATCAACGAGGAGCAGATTCTCATCAGTGACCGGAACACTATCAAGGTAAAGTGCTGGGGTTTTTGGAGGGGAGGCAGAGGAGTGCCTGACCCACCCAGAGGCAGGGCCGTGCTGGATTCATTTCAGGTGGAAAAAGCCCAGACAAAGAGTCTTGTCCCACTGCCCATGGTTGATGCATCTGAGCTCCTTCCCCATGAGGTAGATTGGCCCTAGATAAACCCCAAATGGAGTTCAGAAAGTCTTCAGCTCCCTCAATATCAGGTGATGAGAAGCTCTTCTCAGGGGAGGGTATGGTGGATGTGAATGTCGTTCTCTACCTAGTGAAGAAATGCAACCACACAGGGGAGTGTTAAAGAGCTTCTTCACAGGGTCCGTGTCCCACACATCACCTTGAGGCAAATTTGAGTCCGAGTCTGGGTATCATTCGTGCTGTGGTAGCACTTCAGGCCAAGCCTTGCCCTGCGTTATACTAGGTTCTGTGCGAACATGGAGCAAAAAGATGGTTCCTGTGTCAGAGACCTCACAATCTAAACAGCAGTGATATTGCCTGGTTTTACAAGGGAGATGGCCTCCTCCTAGTTTCATTTTGGAGGCCCCAAAAACTCCAAAGGTAGCAGGAAAAAGGAAGAATGGGAGTAGGGGTAATCATGGCCTTTCCCAGCCTCCCTCACAGAGCTGGCCGTGGCAACACACAGAGATGTTGCAGCGCATCTTTGTTGGGCCATGTATCTACTGGGCGCAATCTGCCCCAATGGTGCAGAGAGGTGAACAATTCCTGCACTGTCTCTTTCCTCGACTAGGTGAACGGCACCCAGGTGAACATCCCTTTTGTCACCGGGCTGTCAACCAAAATCTACAGCATGGAGGGTTTCCTGGTGATTGACTCCAGCCCCGAAATCCAGATCCACTACAACGGCTACAACATCATCAAAATCAGCATCAGCGAACGGCTGCAGAACAAAGTGTGCGGCTTGTGCGGCAACTTCAACGGGGACCGGACAGACGACTACGTGACCCTGCGAGGGAAGCCGGTGGTCAGCAGTGTAGTGCTGGCTCAGAGCTGGAAAACCAATGGCATGCAGAAGAGGTGAGCATGAATCTGAGCGCACAGACCCAGTTGAGGCCTTGTTCTGGCTCCAACTGAGTCAGTGAGAGCTTTGCCATCTATCAACTGGAGTTCAAGGTGTGCAGGGAATAGTCCTGATTTCCAAAGGGTCCCTCTGCCCTATTATCTAGCACCTGACACAGTGTCCACAGTTAACAGCTGGCACAAACACTTATCTTTTAGATGGCTGAGTATGTAGGAGTTAGCCTAAAAGAATTAGGCATTTAACGATCACTGAATTCCAATCAGAGTTGGCCACCAAAATCCCTTAAGTCCCTTTAAGGATCCAAGCTCAAGAGGCCAGGATGGGGTTTTTAAAATGGCAGACCCATTGCTCGAGTCAGCCAGTGGGTTTGTTTGAATGTCCCACTTAGAAGGGAATTTGAGGATGCAAGTAATGAAGATGCCAACTGCATGCACATGACGTGCCTTTTAAGACCTGGCACTTCTCCACGATTAGCAGTGAGTCAGTCCTTTGGAGGTGGGGATGGGTCAAGGAATATGCATGTCAGTCTCTGGGTGAAGCAGGGCTTGAGGGGTCCCCACAGTCCTTGTTATTGGCTTTCTGCACAGAGGACATTTCATCCTACATCCATAAGATACAATGGAAGGAGAAAAGCAGCCAGGAAATCAGTGGAGAGCCTGACATTTACTCAGGACATGATAAGGCAGAAACGTACAGGGCAGCTGAGTATTATCCTCACGTCGAGCTGTTTGTGGCTTCACCACAAGCCTGGGCTCACGGCCCAGCATGTCTCACTGATCCCAGCATGTCATCCCACTGATCTCGCTGTTGTCCTCTTTAATCCCCTGCCCACAGCTGCAACGAGCTGCAGTACTCGCAGTATGCTGCAGCTTGCGACAACGTGCAGATCCAGAAGCTGCAGAGCGACAGCTACTGCCTCAAGCTGACAGACATGAAGGGCTTCTTCCAGCCCTGCCATGGGCTGCTGGACCCTCTGCCTTTCTACGAGTCGTGTTTCCTCGACGGCTGCTACAACCAGAAGAAGTACCAGCTCTGCGGCTCCCTAGCTGCCTACGGGGAGGCCTGCCGTTCCTTTGGGATCCTTGGCACTGAGTGGATAGAAAAAGAGAATTGCTGTAAGAGAGCTAGGCTAACCTTCTTCTGTGCCTTGGGGTTTGCTGCCTAGTACTTAGCACTTCCATTCATCTGCTGTATCCAGCTTCACGATGGGTGTTATGTGGGGTAGGCCAAGATTGAATGAGTTATTTGTTAATATTAGCCCATATCGTGATGTGGCTTTCCTTTCTCTGGAATCAGCCCTTTACTAGGTAAGGCCTTTTTGAGCAGTGCTGCTAACTAGTCATGTGAAGGACATTAGTCAGGCCCCAACAAGTCATGAGATGGGCCGAAAAATCATGAACCACAAAACAAAATGCTTTGACATTAAGACAGTGGGTCCCTTTGCTCTGTGGTCCCAAGGATGTAAGATGCACTTGCTTCAGGTGTCCCAGAATTTTTTCTGCAGTCACGAAAGCAAGAAACTACCTTATAAACAATAAAGCTGAGGTGTTCATGGTTTTCCAGACTCCAAGAGCTGGGGCTCTTAAGTGAATCATCCAATATCACCAGAATTGGGGGGCTGGACCCAATGATCTGTAAGGTCCCTTCCAGCCGCTAACAACTATTAAACTATGAATTGTTGCAAAATCACCAGAACTAGCACTGCTCTGAAGGTCTAGTGTGTGATAAAGAATGGCCCAGGTACTGGTCTGTAAATCATGCTGTTGTTCTCGTCTCTCTTCTCCTTTTTAGCAGGAGTGGTTGAAGACCCCTGTGTGGGAGCCGACTGTCCCAACAGGAGCTGCGAGATGGACAATGGTGGGGAACTGTGTGGTTGCATTGAGCCTCCACCCTACGGAAACAGTGAGTGACCTTGATAATAGCATCTGTCGCCAAGCCACAGTTCAGGAGGTTAAAGTGGGAAGGCCGGCTTCTGGGGCTCATGAACTCAAATGAGATAGAAAACAAACTCAACTGAGCCTTTCATTCATGTCTACATGTAATTCAAATGAGACTGCTACTTCAGCAACCCATTTCCACCCAGGCCCACCTCTGAGACTGCACACCAGAGGGGAAAAACACTTAGGCGGGGAAGGTGCCAAAAAGACTTGGCTGTCAAGTCCTTTGGGACCTAATCATGGCTCTGGCACTGACTTGCGGTGCAACCTCAGGGAAGTTGCACCCTATGCCTCATGTTTCCTATCTGAAGAGCAAGGCTAAAGCTTCTTCAGAGGGTGCAGTGCAACTGAGGCCTCCCGTGTTTGTAAAACACTGCAAGGTCTTCAAAAGCATGCTGTTCCACAAGAGGAAAGCATGGCCAGATTCATTTGTAGCTGCCAATGTCTCCGACTTCATTTTAATTATAGTCCCACAGGTGCAAGCAAAGACATTCTTTAGGTATATGAAACCAACTGAAAATAGAGAAGCCCTTGAATCATAGGTACATTGTTCAGCCAGCCTACACTAAGAGAGAGCTCCTACCCTCCCTAGGCTTTCATCTCATCATCATGGAAATCAGCTGGTGTAAAGTGGTGTAGTAATAGAGACCTCGGGGTTTATGTGAATTCATGCCAGCTGAGGATCTGACCTCAGAATCAAACAGACCTACTAATTTATCTAGTCCGTCCTCCCAGGGGCTGACACAGGAGCACTTCCCAAGGTATACTTTCGCCTGGCCTTGTCTTTGGCTTGCCAGGAGCCCCAGGGCCTCATGTCATTTCCATACAAATGTGCATACATTTTTTTTAAAAAAATCAAAAATCAATTTTGCACGGTCCTCTCCTCCGCGATCAATGAATATAAATTGCTTGTCAGCTAGGCTCGCTGGCAATGAAAGCCTCCTCGGCATTGCTCCTCAGTGACAAGATGCAGAACGAGGAGGGAGCAGTTATCTCTGGGAAGAGGGTTCCCAGGCATTTGATGTGAGGACTTTGTGAGCTACATTTCACTTTTCTTTTGCCCTGTGGGTGAGCCCCCTCCCAGCCTGGAGTCTTATCATGGCACAAGACATGCAACATGTGATCAATCTAATTTAGGAGTGAATGCGAGACAAACTACAGCTGGTAGAGAGCAAAGAGTCGATGGGGGAGGTTCGAGTCCTCAACTGAAAGCAGCCTTCCCAAAGGGCAATGCTGTGAAAGTAGAGGCAGGGAGGGTTATCCAAAGCCTCCCTAGATTAGCTTCTAGGAAAAAATATTGCTCTCCAAAGCCACCTATGCCAGTGTTGGGCACCAAGCAGTGCTGTACCCTTCTCCCACAGATATTAGATGTATAGAAGCAATGTCCAAAGTTCGTCCTAGTAATACCTTTTGGACCCTCTGATGCACCTTCCACCTGAGGACCTCACAACTTGTGACAGATGTTACTGTATAAATGCTCTAATCTGGGAGAGAAGAAAATATTATCTCAATTTTAGACATGGAAGAACGGATGCCCAAAGCATTTAAGTCACCCAATACACCTCCAGTACAGCTGAACAAAAAGATCCCAAGAGTCCTGACAGTGCAGCTCCACAATTTAATTACATCTCCATCCTTTCCCGAGAGCCAAGGAGAAAGACAGCTCAAGCTGCCGAGGCGCCAAGAACCTTTAGGAAGCATTAGCAAATGCTCTCATTGTGCCGTCGCCAGCCTGGCTGGAGCAACGATGCAGAAGAGCAGCCCGCTCGTAGGCACGTCAACAGGGACTTGGACCCATGGAGTATATAGATGAGGCCACATACTGGGTGTGATCACAGCAGCTCTGTTGTGGCTGCACACCAGTGGAGCCAGTAATATATGCAGACGCACACTGCTATGCACCAGGCATTTCCATCTTAATGAAGTTACACATAATCTGACTTGCTCAGTTTTGTACAAATAATGAAAGCTTTGTGGCAGCACAAATAACATTCCCTGAAAAAATGAGTCCAGAAAGGAGCCTTAGGGGAAAAAAGAGTCCAGGGGTGGGTACCAGCAGGTGTCTGGGGAGGCCTGGTTTCTGGTTTCCATTTCTCTGACTCACCGGGTGATGCTGTGCAAGCCGCTTCCCTCCCTCCTGCCTCAGTTTCTTCCTCTATAATACTAAGTGTATTACATAGCTTATAAATGCTTTGGGGCAGGACAGGAGGGGCAGGGGGAAGAGTGAGAACAGGAGTTGTCCTGGCCCATGATAGCAGCTGAAACGTAAATGAAAAATCTGCAACTTGGTTGAACACAGATAGACCTTTTCATTATAAAAGATGCCAAAGTGCTTGCACTCTGCAGATACCAGTGACAGGCAGCCACCTCTGGGTAGAAGGTAGCAGCCAAATTCAGATGTAGAGGACCCCAGTGAAGACCTCATTACCATTACAAAAACTATCCTGGGAGTTTATAGCAGAGCCCAGCATTCAGGGACTAGTAAATGCTGTGGGAGTTGGTCTAACTGCCTTGGAAAGATGGAGTGCCTGAGTCACACCAGCAAAGATTTGGACCACTGTTTTCAGAGAATCACATCTAAACTATCATTTCTCTAAATTGCCTGTCACTGTGGTGCCAAAGCACTAATCCATCTGGCGCTTAGACCACGGAGTCATCTCCTCAAGAGCTATTACTCTTCCTTTGGTGGCAGGTTTTCCACCCCAATCTACGCAGGGGAGATGGTATCTCCCTCTTCATTCTGAAGCTTGTCGTTTGAGTTGAGACAGACCACGCTTTGGCTGAGCCAGCACCCCACGGCAAGCTGCAATGGGAAGTGTCAATGCATGGCACCTTCAAGGCAGAGGCTCACACAGTCAATGCAAAAGCTGCACGCCAAAAGAACTGAGGGCATGTGGGCACAGTCTACAACCACAACATGAAGTGCAGGCCCAAATCTCAGCTCTTGTCCTCTAGCCACCTCCTTTGCATGTGCAATTCAATGAGAAGTGCAAAACAGCAGATGCAAGTGGAGCCTACAGAAGGGAGCCCAGCCTTCTGCACTTTGACCTCTTCTGTCCTTGTCTCCCCTAACAACTGTGGGTTTCATGGCTCATTTTTCATTCAGGTTTAAAATTCAGAAGGGCCTGAATTCTAGGACCACCGGGTACAGTAGAGAGGAAGGCCTGAGATGCACAATTGTCTCCAGGTCTGGGTCTGAATGTGTCAAAGCTGGGAGGGTGGGTGGCCAGTGTTCTGGTTCTCTCCTTTATAAATCCTTTGCTGGTCATTTTTACCAGTTCTCTACTTCCTAATGCTGATGTCCACACAGGGTCTTCTCCTGGTTGGCCAGTCTTGACTTTTCAGCACTTTTTTTTAAACTACTCCTTTATTTCCCCTAGACTCCCATGACATCATTGATGCAGAAGTGACCTGCAAAGCCGCACAGATGGAGGTCTCCATATCGAAGTGCAAGCTCTTCCAGCTGGGCTTTGAGAGGGAAGGGGTGCGTATTAACGACCGCCACTGCCCAGGCATCGAAGGAGAAGACTTCATCTCCTTCCAGATCAACAACACCAAGGGGAACTGTGGAAACATTGTGCAGGTGAGAAGAGCTGTGCACGCGGAGGAGTGGGGAAGGCAGCCAGCGTTTAATGGTGCATTGTTATAAAGTAAATGTTGCTGGAGTGATATGTGGAAACATACGCCTTGGAACCAAACCAAACAGCACACAGGAGCATAAAAGAAATGAGTGTGAGAAACACACAGGCAGTCATTTTAGTGTCAGGTTTATTATTTGAACTCAAATGTCACAGTGACTGCATAATGCTTCAGTGCCTCATTAAATTATATTAAGGGTTGATCACACACTTTTTTCCCAGGGCATGGGGTATTTTTCTCTGTCTATGTGTTGTAAAAGGCAGCTCCAAACGTATTTGTGTGCATGGCATGAAAGAACAGGATGATTCCTCTGGTGTCCCATGCAAATGCTAGACTGGACGCTTGTTCTCGTCCTAGTTACATCTCCCTTTTAATGCCACTGAGATGTGGCATCCTTGTGTGTTGTTAAACAGCCATTGTTTTGTATTCCAAAAGTGGGCGCATTTTAGTGGAGGGTTACTGGTATCCTTAGGGCCCTCCATGATGAAGGATGCTGTTATAAATTTAAAATGTATATGTTTTGCTCAAATTTATTTTGCGGAGAGGATGGATGAAAGCTGACTCTTTATTAACTATTACTGCCTTGTTCACAGACTCCAGTAGGGAATCATGGCCCTGTTGCATCAGGTGCTGCACAAATGTAAAATAAAAAGCCATCCAGGCCTGCCAAGCAGTTTACAGTCTGTCTGCAATTATTTAATACATAGTGACTTTGTTCTACTGTTTTCAGGGGAGAGAAGTGGGATTGTAATGACTGCATTGACCCGTTAATAGAAAAATAATATCATCGTTTTTTTCTTGGTCTTCTGCACAGTCCAATGGCACCCACATCATGTATAAAAACACTGTCTGGATTGAGAGTGCAAACAACACTGGAAACATAATCACCCGGGACCGAACCATCAACGTGGAGTTCTCATGCGCATATGAGCTGGATATCAAAATTTCTTTGGATTCAGTCGTGAGGCCAATGCTTAGGTAAGAGTGGCTTTTGACTGCTTTGTATGTGCATGTCTGTGCGCGTATAGATCTGGTGCTGGTCCGAGAGCCCCCAAGACTGTCTTCGCTGTTTATCCTGAGAACTTGGAGGCAACTTAATTCCTGCTAGTAGTATACTACAGTGTGGGAAGGCCATTTCTGGAACTGTCTAGGGTTTCTCATGAGCTTTGCTTCCCCCCTTCAGTGTGATTAACTTGACAGTCCCAACCCAAGAAGGCAGCTTCACAACCAAGATGGCCTTGTACAAGAACTCTTCCTACAAACACCCCTACCGCCAGGGTGAAGTGGTGCTAACCACCCGGGACGTGCTATACGTGGGGGTCTTCGTCGTTGGAGCAGATTCAAGCCACCTGATTCTAACGCTGAACAAGTGTTATGCAACCCCTTCTCGGGACAGCAATGACAAGCTGAGATACTTCATTATTGAAGGAGGGTAAGTGGCGTCTAACAAAGCCTTTCTCTGCCTTTCTTTTACTACACAAGATTGTTGGCTGGTGTAAAGCACTGAGGACAACAGGGTCCCTTCACACCAGTTAACAACCTTGCTCTTTGCACTTTAGGGGTGTCATTTCCTTCCCAGCAGCGTGTGCCAGTGCCAGCATAGATGAATCACTGATTTGTGCTTCTGTAGCCATGCTTGCCATCCCCAGGGTGTCACAGTGAGGTGCATAATCTAAAAAAAAATTAAAAATCACTAGCATTATGACTTCCGATGATTTTCAACTGGTGGCCCACTGTCAACCCTCAGCTTTTCTCATTATCATCACATGTTTAATTGCAAAGAGGGCAGGGCCCAGTGCAATGTACAGCCCATGTGCTGTGGCCAGTGCTCTGGCGCTACTGCTCCACAGAGGAGCTGCATTTGGCTTTTTCTCACTGCCTGTAGTGATGTAGACATTGAAGTCCATACTACCCCCTAAGTAGGCAGATGTTTGCATATGTTAATACACCATGTTAGAGGATGGCTCCTGGGTGATTCAGTGTGGGAAGGAATTGTCATGGTTTTAAGATTTTTGCCACCTACCCTGTGAGCTGTTGCTGCTAATAATAATAATGGGATTTTTTGCACTGCTATAGCACTTGTCATCCGAGGGTAACTAGGTACTTTACAGGGTGGCATTGTCCTCATGTCAGAGGTAGAAATGGTCATTCAAAGGTAGGGAGGCTTGAAAGTTCAAGGTTGTTCATAAATCTGGGTTGAGCTCACAGAGCTGCTGTGGGGAAAAAGGGGTCAAGTCTCTCCCGCCCCCCCCCCAAAAAAAGAGCAGGTCTCAAATGTTTCAAGTTGGATATATAAATTCATGGTTTCCATCTAAGTTAATCGCCAGGATGAAGGGCAGGGCCTGGAAGGTGTCTTGTTCAGTATCCAGCTCCATCTCTGACTCCTTGTGTGACCTTGGGCCACATCACGTTACTTCTCAGTGCTTCAGGGGTGTTGCAAAGCAGAATTAATTCATGTTGTAAACACCGAGATCCTTGGATGAAAGGGGCGATGATAGTAATTCAAAGTTATGAATAATCATAACAACTTGACAGAACAATCAATAAGAATCAGTTTATTGCATCACTGCAGTAGCCAGCAAAAGTGGGGGGAAAGGCTGGAATAAGACATGGACTCAAGCTGCCAAACTGGGGTTTGGACTCTGGCCACTCCGCACCCAAGGGGGGAGTTCATGCTCCTGTCATATAAACACCAAGGTACAGCTAGAGCAAAGGATCATTTAGTTAGTCTATAGATGTAACCACAAACTCTGCAGGATACCTGTGTCTGAACCTTGCTGAGACTCTGCGTTTCCTCCTAGTTGCCAAAATATTAAGGATAACACCATTGGGATTGAGGAAAACGGGGTGTCTCTGACCTGCCGTTTCCACGTCACCGTCTTCAAGTTCATTGGGGACTATGATGAAGTTCATCTCCACTGTGCTGTCTCGCTCTGTGACTCAGAAAAATACTCCTGCAAAATAGTAAGTACATGTGAGCTTAGCCTGCTCCTTTGCACACAGCAGTGTCTGTGCACACGGTCTTCCATTGCAACATGGCAGCAGACCTGTTCTGTTCCACGGGGCTTATTACAAGGGCTTATTATTATTTCTCCCCACTACTCTACAATGCCAGGGCTACCCTAGTAGAAGGATGCTGAACGGCCTCCCAAAATGCTGCTCCCTTTTGTAACCAGCAGAAGTAAGAGTGCTGGGGGAAGGGCTGAATTTATCTTTCATGATGCTAATTTCAAACCACTCGTTCAGTGGGAGCAAGATCAAATGCAATGTTTGAGCAGAGCTCTGAGATCCAAGACAGGCCCTCGGTACGCGCGGCCCCTTTGCAATAACCGTTCCTTGCCTTTCCGTGCGTTCAGAACTGCCCTCAGAGTTCCAGGAGTGCTGCTGATTTTACCAAAGAGCCCAAGGAGCAGATCATCTCGGTGGGGCCCATCCGGAGAAAGCGTAAGTGTGCATGGGGTTAGGGACGTGGAGGAGAACCTTACCCCCTCTCGGCTTCTGCAAGCCTGTCGAACAACGTGCTCATCTTGAACACGTCTGTTTTCACCATTTCTGTGGTCTGCTTTGTGTGTGATGGGAGCACATGGGAAAGCAACTGATTGGCTTCACTCTAGTCTGCCTCAGTTTTGCTTTCTGGTTCTTCACACTAGCTTTCTCTGCCCCTGTTGCTCTGTGTATTGCTTTGTAGGAGCAAATCCTTCAGGGAGCCGCTCCCTCTCCTTTTCATAGTTCTCAAGAGATGTTTTTTTCCATCTTTTGTGTCCATCCATTCTCCCTGTTATCCTACCTATATCTAAAGTATCTGCTGCCCTGGTTTAAATGTTTAATGGCACCTCAGTAGCATTTTCTGGGCAGTTTAGGGCTTGGGAGTCCAGCCAGAGGCATTAACATCCTCACTGCTGGAAGCACTGAGCACTTGCTGCCCACATGGTGGTAATTCTTAGCAGGTGCTAAAAGCTCAGAGCTCATTTTCATTAGACCTTTTCTTAGTTCCCCATTCTCTTGCCTCTACTCATCTCCACTGCCCCATCACCTACTGGCAGGAAGCTGATCTTCATGCAGTGATTTGGAGGTCTTTACCTGGCCCATGGCTAGTGGGGATTGCACTGGTCTTTGCTCAGTTGGTTGTGAGACAGGGAGCAGAGCATTATCAGTGCCTTTAGTAGCAGATCCTGAAAAATGCACAGCCAGGAGTTGTCTAAATCCATGCAGCGAGCAGGGCTTCCAGGAAGTTAAACGGTCCTTTCAAGAGATTAAGCTCTCTGCTGTCCTTTTCCCTATGTTTCCGATGCAGTTTGGAAGGGTTTTCTCCCACAGGAGCCTACTTGCTATTGACTGCTTCCTTCTGTTTCAGGGTTAGACTGGTGTGAAGATAACGGAGGCTGTGAGCAGATCTGCACGAGCAGGGTGGATGGGCCCCTATGTAGCTGCGTAACAGGAACATTGCAAGAAGATGGCAAGAGCTGCAGAGGTGATTATGCAGAGGGGCACTGGCCACAGTGATTTGTTTGTCACCACGTCCGTGGCTTGCCCTAGCTAGAAAATAAGCTAAAAGCTCAATCCCCATGAAAGGGTGGAGAATGAGTCTCCTATGTTTTAGCTACTATCCTCATGGTTAGGCTATCTTGAGCCAAAGGGGATCTGAACTTATGCCTCTATGAATTGCTAACCATTGGGCTACAGAGTAGATGGGAGGAAAATGGTCTCTCCATCCCACCTCTTAAAGCTGAGCCACTGCATCCTGCAGTTAATACGTACTAATGGATGGGAAAGGAAGGGGCTAAACTAGAACTCAGCACTTGCTGCTCCCTATTACACTAGCTATCTCACTAAGCCACACATGCTAGCTGGTGTGGCTTCTCCTAGCCTGACATTAACTGGCTGCCCAGGGGGTCCACTTCAGGAGGAGGACTGGAGAAGTTATTGCGGAATGATTAACTTGTGGCCTAGTGGCTGGAGCATTGCATAAGACAATCAGAGAGGCACAGGTTTAAAACCAACCACCTCTAACACCTATTCATCATCTTGTTTTGCTACCTACAGCTGTGCAGCTGCACTGCACGTGGAATAGGACCACAGACTGCGCTAGCAGCAAACAGCTGATCCATGGCTGGGGAAGGGGCATGTGGGTGTGTGAAGTGACACAGGGCCCTGCCCGTTGGTGCTTCAGTTAAGTGCAAAGCCAGCAGTGCTGAACACCCCAGTTCTTGCTCTCAAGTTATGAGCACTCAGGGGCTCAGCACCTGTAAGAAATCAGGTTTTTGGAGGCTGTAGCTGGAACCCAGCAGTTTGAAAGCGTTCGCGTGTATTGGTCATCTCCCTGTTAACACCCGGGCGAGGGAGGGTGGCAGGCAACTTGTTGGGTGAGGGATTCTAATAGATGGGAAGTATGGTTACCCTCCAGCTAGGCCTGTTAACCACAGGCGCTGGCTGTTCCCAAATTTTGCCCTTTCTAGTCTGTCACACTTGCAGCTCTGTTAAATAATGCAGCCTTTGCTTATTTTGAACTGTGGGCTTATGATTTTTCAACATTGTCCTCTGTCTGTCTGTCGTTCTAGCCTCCAGCTCTTCCACTGAACCTCAAGCCTGGCTAATTCTTCTCGTCATAACCCAGCTATCACTATGGCGTTTCGTCTATAAGTCAGACCCGACCTCATAATTAATTCAAGGCTTCTATTTAAAGTACTGTAATTTACTTACTCTAAATCCCTGTAGGATAAAAGCATGTGTCCCTAACTCTCAGCCTGTACATGAACAACAACAACAAAAGCTTTTAACTATTGCAGTGCTGAAGCCGGTTGCCTGTTAAAGCCATTTCAATGACATTACAAGCTATTTTTTATGCTGGAGGCAATAGCAGCCACGAGGGGGAATTACAGGACCCAGACGCTCGCCTGAGATGAAGCCACAACACGCATTTGTGCACATGGCACATTTGACCAAGATTTCCCCATGGCCTCCAGCCTGCACTGGCTTCTCCTCCTCCCAAACGACTTCACCACTGCCCCACTGCGCATTGTCCCTCTGCCTCCCCTTGTCCCTGTTGTAGAGAAACACAGTGACACCCCCCGACATGCCACCAACACACCTCCGACCCACGCCAGCCCCCCCGCCCCCCCCGGAAAAACAAAAGCTAAGTTGCCCAGAACCGCGCTGACACACCCCCAGCACGCCCCTGGCATGCCTCTGCCACACCCCTGGCGAAAAACTGGCTCGCCGGCCAACGCGCTGACACGCCCCCGGCATGCCCCCGGCCCGCCCCCCCCACCCCCCCCCTGGCACGCCCCCGACACGCCTCTGACACACCCCCGGCGGGAAACCGGCTCATCGACGATCATGCTGACACGCCCCCGACACGCCCCCGGCACGCCTCTGACACACCCCCGGCGAAAAACCGGCTCATCGGCAAACGTGCCGACACGCCCCCGTCATGCCCCTGC